ATCTGAGGTACTTGAAATATAACCTGAGTCTATAGTTCAAGTGGGACAACACATGTCCCATCTACAATGAAAGGCAATGTCCAGGAGGGAGCTGAGACTGACCTGACCTGGATGGCACCTGTATCATCATATGACACTCAGGGAGGATGCTTCCAAGTGACTGGGTCCAAGTGGACCATTCTTATCATACCCAACTAAATCAGAGTTGCGGGGAAGGGGGGAAAGCATTCAGGTGATACAGCACCTGCTCCAAGAATTAAATTTTCCACAGTTGGGCTCCTAAAATGGCTTACCATAAATATAAGATCAATTATAACTAGTAGCTGCTGAAACCACCTGCTGTGACTCTTTAAGACTAGTTTTATCTACCACCGTCACTCTCAAACCACAGCCTGCCAGCCCTGGTGCCCAGGATCTTTCCTTCAGAACAATATGTAACATTTCTCTAGTAAAACTCCTAACCTTCCCTTTGTCCTTCAGACAAGGTCCACCCAATCTGGTGTATGCCCCAAATTGTAATTCTTGCTTCCCAAATAAAATGCTAAATTAGAGATCTATCTCTGTAGTTTTATTTTGACTTCAATGGCTATAATTTCCCCTCCTTTCCCTCCTCAGCCCAGCCATCCCCCAGGGCACACCCAGGATAGTTCTCTAATGTGCCTTGGAGAACCAGCATTTCCTTCAGTGAATTTGCCCAAGCCACAGAGACCCACCAGCTGACCTTTATCAAGCCCCTTTTGTGTACAAGACATGATCGCAGGTGAGAGGCAGAAATGAGGGCTGGTAGAACATAACCAGCACTGATATTCCCTTCTCTGGCTCCAACAGCCGGGTCCTTTTAGCTCAAAGTCACACTGAAATTTAAACTACCCTCTGCTGTGTGCCAGTTATGTATACTCTTTCCTGTACCCAACTGAACTGTACCCTCTTGAGGAGCTGGGCCTATAGTATTTTAGAAAGGCTTAGCAGCAGGTAGCAGCCTAAACAGAGCAGGTGCACACTTATCCTCACATTCACTCCTCAGCACACTTAGCACACCTCCAACATGCTCCCAGCCACAAGCCAGAAGCTAAAAGTCTCCTTACAACTCCCTCAAGAGGGTTTCTGCTTGTAATTCTCATTGTCACAGGGCATGTCAGGACCAATAAACAGCTGTGGCCCCAAACAGATGCAAAGCTCCCTTGACTATGGCACCAGCCCCTGTAGACCACGTCACTCCCACAATGACCCACAGCCCGTGGGCAGGCAGAGCAAGGTTAATGAGCAAGGCAGAATCCCCTGTGCCCTCTGTCCCCACGACAATCCCCACCAGCCCAGGCAGCCCCACACCAGCCCCTACCGTGCTGGGCCTATGCGAGGTGCTACAGGAGGGGAAAGCCAGAATCCCCAGGAGTGGACACTTCACCTGCAGCCACCACGCAATCACCCAGCGGGGCTTGATCAAGGTCAGCTCAGGGGTCTCTGCGGCCTGGGCAAACTCTGTCCCTCTTTTCTGAAAGGAGCCCAGTGGAGCAAACTAGTGAGTATAAAGACTAACAAGAAGCCTTTAATGTGAGACTGAATACATTTTATCACACGAGGACATTCTCTCTTTAACCTGCCACACAGAACCCTCTGTTAACTCTAAAAATTGATCCACACATATTTTTTGATTTACTGAATTTTCTTCAAAGTAAAAATGTTTCTTTAAGGAAAAAAAATCAGCAGTGAACAACTTGAACCCTAACTGGAAAATGAAATTCTACCCTTAAGAGGATTTTATATCACAACTGATGAATTTTTATATACTACTTTATCAATATAAGTGGAAAAAACAATTGGTACATGTAATCATTGAAGTTGACTTTCTCATTTCTAATTTTATGCCTACACACCCAATACAAATGGGAAAAAGAGATTTGCTGTGCTCTCTCCCACACGAAATTGCTGTATAGTGATCTGAACTCCCACCTGGCTGTGTGACTGCGCCCCAAAGCTCCTGTGGCCACACGTCACGTTGTCTCACACGTCTCTGCTTCAGTGTACACAGCTCCATATACTTGGAACCCTGTTTCAGAGCTGAACTCATTCTCCTCTTCACATAAACCCCTCACTGTTTCTGAGTCAGGAGAAACTCCCCTCCTCTGCCCTCCCACTGTACCAGGCTTTAGTACACACCTTTGACAAACCCAGATCCCATGAATCTTGTATTAGGTGGGCTACATGTTCAACTTCTCTGCTAAATGGTGCTTCAGAGGAGCGGAGTCTGTATCTTACATGTGTCTGACACCCTACTGCCAAGTCACAGCACCAAGCATACCAGGTTCAATAAACTTCTGAGGATGCCAAAAGCTATCACCTTTCATTCACTCAACAAACGTTTCCAGAGTGGCTTCAATGTGCCATACAAGGCACCAGCTTCCAGGGATCAATAGAAGATTAAGTATTTTGCAGGTGGGCAGCCACATGGGCAGGTTATAATGCTTGTGTAAACTACAACAACGAAAGTGTATTCCAGACCCCAGGGAGGAAGAGGGTAACTATCACGAGAGGGAGGGTGAAGTCTGCAGGCCAGGTGCACGCTCCTGCTGGGGCCTGCGCCCCCTGTCCAACGTGGTGGACATCGTGCTGCTCCATTTAAATTACTCCATTCTCCCTTGGTAGTTGTTCTTTTTTGTTATGTTTTGGTTTTGGCTAAAGTGAACAAAACAAAATGCTGTGTGACATGATGCTAGTACCAACTCCATGTGTTAACCCATGTGCCTCTCCTCTCCACTCTACGCCCTTCTGCTGGCTTCAGTTAAATGCATACTCAGTCTGATAGGTATTCCTGGTCCTGTTGGCTTCATCTCCATGCTTGTCCTTGCCTTGGAACTCCCGAAGCACTTCAAAAGACATGGGAGTCCGCTTGACGGCTCTTCATGCAAGTGCCTGCCAACCTTCACTGGCCTGGTGCTCAGAGCTCGGTATTTGGTCTCTGAATCACACATGACTAAAAAAATGGCACCTGCTAACAGGTCCATTCTAATGCCAAGCTGGGTGGTAAACCACCAAAGGGCAGGACAAGACTGCCATCTCCAAGTCCTTTCCCATCCTCCCCCAAGGCACTATGGTGTATGCACACAGCATGAGCTCAGTCCCGTGACGGTGAATTCATCTCAGCCCCTCATCTCGCAGACAGGTGTCGATTTGGATATAGCTAATGCACTTCAACTGCATGTGCCTTAGAAGGGTCTCTAGTACATGGGCTAGAGGTGGCACCTGGTCATGGAGGGTAACTGACTCATCTTTCCTGGCTCTCTATCCCCAAAGGCAGGGTACCCAAGCCCTGCTCCCCTAGTACAGGGACCAAGCCTCACTCATTCTGTGTCCCTGGTGCCAAGCAGTGGGTTCAGAACACAGCTGGTATTCCAGGAGACTGAACAGGTAGATTATTGCTATGACCCATGCCATTTGGTGGTTTCCTGTTCAGCTGGAAGCCTCGATTCACTGTCATCAGAAGTCAAAATGAAACCCTGATGACTATGCCAGCTCAAAGACCAAGGAAACTGAACACTTATTTTCCACAGTGAACTTGGCAACTTCCTGCCAAGTTAAACTTAGTGTTGCAGATTACAAAATCAAACTTGTACCCTTTTCTAATCAACTCTTCCCTGAACTCTTCCCGGCTCCATCCTGCCCCATCCTTCACAGACTCTGCCTGCCACCTTAAGGCTCGTACTAAGTGGTGGTGCTGTGAACCAGTCTGCTCTAACAATAACTTCACAGTTCTGAAACCATCAGTCTGCGCTCCTCTGTTCTAACCTGATTCTCACATCCCGAAACCCTGACTAATCCTCCTCCCTTGGCTAAGATTGTCCCCATGTCTCCCTTTCCAGAAATACCTTTTCTGCCTAATCATAATCTCAACAAAGGTTTCCCCTTCTGCTTTTTCAAATTCCACCTGCATCTGACATTAAGTGTTCCCAAGGTCCAGTCCCACTGGCCTTTTCTTCCTCTCCTCCCAACCTCCGCCTGCCCCAGAACTGTCTTTTACCCTCCTATACTGTCTTCCTGTTAATTCATATATTATTCTCCCGAGCTGACAGTCTGAACAGCTGATAAGGAAGGCCAGCCATAGCCACGTGATCCTGCTCAAACCACCAAATTTTCACATCTTACAGAGCTGTTTCTAAGAGCAAATGAGAATTTGCATAATGGGGACTTCATCTCATATTCCCACTACAAGCCCTTTAGAGTAGAGGATCTGTTAGTACCTGCAAGCAGGTACCGTATTTCCCCGAAAATAAGACACTGTCTTACATTTATTTTTTTCTCAAGAAGACACACTAGGGCTTATTTTCAGGGGATGTCTCCGCGCTGAAATGCATGTGGTAGCTACACAGATATGCTGCATAGCCACGCCCATCACTAGGTCTTATTATGGGGTAGGGCTTATATTTAACAAATGCATAGAAATCCTACTAGGGTTTATTTTCTGGGTAGGTCTTATTTTCGGGGAAACACGGTATTTCCTATCATCCACAACGCTGCTAAAGTCCCAGTAAATAAAGTCTCAGTGTCAAGACAGCTAAAGAACAGTTTTCACACCCTCCATTTAACCCCTCAGGAACTTCTCTGATACGGAATTTTAAGTGAGTGCACAAATAAGTGAGGGATGGGGTAAAAAGGAGGACACAGTTGTTCTCAGCTCATCTGCTACAAGGGCGCCAGTCATAAGTGTGGGATATGAACTCTAAGCCACGGTCACACGGGTGGGGGGGCGCCCAGGACATGAGAACTGCGGAGTAGGATGTGAACACAATTGACAGTACAAATGACACACGCAGGCAAGGAACGCTTTGGGCCATAAAACTGGGGCACCTTTCTTCCCAACTTCACGCCCATCGCAGCTACGAGCACTACCAGGGGCGTGCCCGGATTCGGGCCTGTGCGTAGGAAAAGCCCATGTCCCCGGCCCGGCAGCCCTGGATATCGCCGGCCCGGCCCGGCCCGGCCCGGCCCCGGCCCCCGGGCCTCACCAATTGAGATCTCCTGTGCGAAGGCGAGCGAGATGAGCAGCAAGGGCAGCCCCACGGCGATGCACGTGACCATCTTGTCCACTGCCAGCTCCAGCCGCAGACCCTTGAACTTGGGCTCGTTGGGCTCCTTCAGCAGGAAGTCGGAGAATACGTACTCCGTGGCCAGGTGGGCGATGGCCATGGCTGCGGCGCGCTGCGCTCGGCCGGGCGGGCCCGCGGGGGCAGACCCGGGTACCGCGCGCGTCCGGAGGGCCGCGCCGCGCTCTCACCCTGTCACCGGCGGAGAGTGCAGCTTTCGCTTTCCCTTTGCCCGCGCTCCAGCTGCTCCCGCATCCCGCCTGTCGGTGCCTCCTGCCTGCGGCTCCCAGCAACCCCGCGGGAGCCGCGGCCGCCCGCGCTCTGCGCCCGGCGGGGCGGGGCCCGGACCAAGCGGACGCTGCGGTCCCGCCCCCGCGCGCTCGGCCCGTGCGGGTCCCCGGGGCGCGCGTGACACCGGACTCCGCGCGCCCACGGGAGCTAAAATCAACCGCAGAACAAAGCGCTTCCCCGGCCCGGCCCGTGCGCCCCCAGCCCGCCCCCACCGCGCCTTTCCGGCGCCGTCCGGGGAAACCGAGTACCCGGGGGCGTGGAGTTTCCGGAAGACGCGGTGACGCGGGCGGGGTGGGCGCGGCTGCCTCCCTGTCCCCAGGCCCACCCCAGCGAAGGGGTCTTTGCACTGAGCGGCCCCTCTGAAAATTCTCCAGTCCTTTCGGTCCTTGTTGTCCCTACTTCTAGCACCTGATGTTTGAAATCATTTCTGCAGGCAACTCCTCTGGAGGGGAATGGCCCCCATTTGCGCCCCACCCCCATTATTTCTACCTGGTGAAATGGGATTAGAGGAAGCTACAAAAGCTTGAAAGAACAATGGGTCTATTAAAAGGCCAGTAAGCACTGAGGACCAAGGTGTGCTGCAGGGGGAGCGCTGGACTTTTGCAGGAGTCCACGTGCGAGGGAGGCGCGGGAACTGTGGAGATCGCTGGTCGGGACTGGGTCTTTGACCTGAGTTAGCACTTTCCCTGCCATGCCGGTAAGAGCTTGGTCCAGACCTGTATTCACTCTCATATCCCAGGAACCCTGACTAATCCTCGCCTTGGCTAAAACAGCCCCTGGTCTCCTCTTCCAGGAACATAGAACATTCTCTCTCTTACCTTTCTGCTTATCTAAATGCCACTCACCCTTGGACTTAAGTTTTCCCAAGGCCCAGTTCCACTGGCCTCTCCTCACCTCTCCCAACCTCTCAAAGCCAAAATGCCTTTAACCCTAACAGGCCACCTTCCCGCTGCTTCACAGACCCCTGCGCCTGCAGGTAGGTGGGTGTTGGGGGCCAGAGAGCTACTTCTGAGCTGCCCCCAGGAAGTGCATGATGAGAAAGACAAGGGCAATGCTCCGACCAGGGACCCTGGAAATTAAGGCCGTTGAGGAAGAAATCTTCTGATAAAGGTTTACTGCAAGACAAATGTGACCATCAGTTTGAGAAGACACACCAACCAATTCACAACCATTATTGTGAGTCAGAATGCTTTTGTAAGGGAGGGGAACTCCTAATAACTGAGCTTTCCTTTTTCACTGGAGGATGCAATACAGAGATTACTCTCATTGGCTGCAGATGAGAACATACACACTAAGGCGGTTCGCCCACAGGACAATCACTCAAACTTCATGATTCAGAAACAAATCAGTGTCCTTTTCGATGTCTGTAGGTTATATAATAATCATTATGATACCAATTTGAGAAGCAATAAAATTGAAGGGACTCGGTATTTTTTTTTTTTTTTTTTGCTCAGAGATGGTGTTATGGGGTGAGATAAGGACCACCGACTCAAATTAGAATTTCAATAAGGTGTCTTTTATTAACCACGGGGCTGTCTCAGCAAAGTCTAAAGCAGACTAAGTGAAAGAGCATTGAGGGGTCTGAAGCTGGGGTTTTTCTAGTCTGAAAGTTAGCAAAGGGCCAAACAGGTAGGCTGGAAGTTAGTGATTAGAAGCAAAAAGAAAGTTGGCAAAACAAGCAAAAAGCGAGCACAGGGTCACCATGACTCCTCCTACAGAAGCGAACCTTGCAATTTAGCCGATTAGTGGATAGGTGACATAAAGGTCACATCAAGCAGATCTGGCAGTTAGCAAGTAAGTAAAACAATTTGTCATAGCACTTAGCTTGTTAACCCTCATCGTGACAGTACTTGGCTCTTTAGTTCCTATCTTGTTCTGTTCTGGCCCGATCTGGACCCATCTAAGAGTAATGGTACTTGGCACCATTTCATTTACCTCTTTTTCCTCTTCCTCCGACCCGGGGTGGGTGGGTGTGAGGCCGCCAGTATCCATCTTATGGAGGTGATGAGGCAACTGGCACCCATGAGGCTGCTGGCACCTATCTCAATGGGATGTAAGCCATGAATCCTAAGACCTTTCCCAGGTGGGTTAATTTGGAAGTCCACTAGATGTGACCTGTCAGTTATCACCAGCAACATTTGAAACAGGCAAGACCTTAGAGATGAGACCTCTTGGGGGTGGCTGTCTTCCCCGTAGGTGCATGGGTGCAAGTTTCAACTCCCACGTGGACCTCTCCACCCTGGCCTGTCCTCTCAACACACATCCAGTAGCCTGCACAGCTCTCCACTCGTATGGCTCACAGGAATTCAATCTTCCAACTTCTCCTTAAACCATGTGCTCAACTCAGAAACCTGGAGAGCCATCTTTAGCACTTTCATCTCCACAACCAACTGCCAAAGCAATTTCCAAATACTCTTGCTTCTCTGTCCTAAATACAGCAAATCTGACAGCTTACCACCAATACCCCATCTCGGCCCACCAACCTGTCTCCTAAGCATACACAGAAATGTGTCTCCCAGGCCATTCTCCCCCATTGCCAGATAGAGCTTTCAAGAGCTCCAATCAGATCACCTTACTTCCCTACTGAAGAGTGTCCACTATCTTTAGGATAAAATTCAAATTTCATGGCATGCCCACTGGCTGCCTCACCACCCCTTTCAGTTCTTCAAGTGGTCTCTTTGCCTGGCCAGCCCTTATTCAGCCTTCTGGCCTCAGCTCCATCCTTTTCAGTGGGTAAAGCAAACTAGATCAGGTAATACTGGCACCACCAACTGTGGTGAGAGAACTGCACCTCAGTTCTCTTATGTGTAAAATAGTCATATCTCTTAGGACCGTGCTAAAGATCAAATGAGTTAACACATGGGAGATGCTGAGGACAGTGCTTGGCAACTCATGAGTCTAGCTACATGTCACCTATTGTTAATATTCTCTATTTTTCCTTAAAAATAGTCACAATTACGATCAACAAATGTTTAACTATTCATTTAATGTATGTCACCTTATATGGTCAGCCTCATGAGGGTGGGCCCAGGTCCACGTATATCACTTTTGTCTCCAACACTTAGCACAAATGTATAGCACCGAGCTGGTGTCTTAATTCACATTATTTAATAAATGTCTGAAGGAATCTGAAAATGTTTCACCTTAATTTTTTTTTTTGAGACATAGTCTCATTCAGTCCTCCTGGGTACAGTACTGTAGAATCATAGCTCATAGCAACTTCAAACCTCTGGGCTCAAGCAATCTTCCTGCCTCGGCCTTCTGGGCAGCTGGGACTATAGGCATCTGCTACAATGCCCAGTTGTTTTTCTGTTTTTAGAAGAGACCAGGTCTTGATTTTGCTTAGGCTGGTCTTGAACTCCTGAGATGAAGTGAGCCTCCTGCCTTGGCCTCCCAGAGTGTTAAGATTACAGGATGGGCCATAGCACCCAGCCTGAAATTTTTTTTCAAGTGGCCTAAATTATGCTAATTTATCCATACATTCAAGGTATATATATAGGGGCTAGTCAGGGGCCAGTTCTGGGCTCAATGGATGCGGAAGCAAAGTTGAAGTGGGTGCATTCCAGTTCCTCAAAGACCTCATGACTTGGTAAGAGAAATAGACACATGCACAATAAACCATAATAATGCAAGTTAGACAGCTGAGTGATTTGGGGGAAAGGTAGGGTATGCCAAGGGAGGTACAGAGAAAGAGCCGGGCCTGGGAGGAAGAGTCAGTTTGGGGCAGTCAGAACTGGGACAGGAGCTTTCTGGTGAGGAAACAGGGAAAACTGTAGGTGCCATCCTCTTCTCTCCCTGTCAAATCTACTCATCCAACAGGTTCCAGCCTTGCTCTTTGGGAAGCCTTCCAGGAAGCCTCAGTTGTAAAGAGTCCCTCCCTTCCGAAGCACTGTCCGCCGCTGGCCTAGCATTTCGCTCATTCTGCCTTATGTGATGTGATAGTGAACTGTATGACTTTTTCATTACATATCAAGTCTTTGGAGGATCTGGATTGAATCTCAGCAGTTGCTTAAATTTTCCTCAGTCTTGGCAATTTTTTCCTTTCAGTATAAAGTCCTTCCACTTGTGCTGAATTTAAATAGAAGCAAGGGCCAGGTGCAGTGGCTCATGCCTATAATCCTAGAATTCTGGGAGATGGAGGTGGGGGGATCATTTGAGCTCAGGAGTTTGAGACCAGCTTGAACAAGAGCAAGACCTGGTCTCTACTAAAAGTAAAAAAAAAAAAAAAAGAAAAAAAGAAAAGGCAGCACGTGCAAAGGCCCCAAGGCAGAAAGAACTGGAGAGGCATAGGGACTGATGAAGGATGGAGCCGAGTAGAGTTCAAGAAGTGGGAGAGACAGGCATGGGCTATATCAGGCTAGGCCTTAAAGACTAAGGTACAGAGTTTGATTGTTATTAAAAGTGAAATTGAAAGAGATTAAAAGATTATTAACGAGAAAGATGATGTGATAAGTTTTCGAAGAACACTGTAGCAGCATGTGGATAGTAGTTGGGAGAGGCAGGAGGGATAGTAGAGAGGGTGGCCAGGGGATTGCCGCAGCAACCCTGCTTGAACAGGATTTGTGTGAGTCTGCAGCCCAGGTCAGGACTGGAGAAACACATACTGAATTTATCAGCATGAAGACAGTTTCCAGATCCATGAGGATGGATGAAATCAACTGTGGAGAAGACAGTAACAAATGACCACCAACTTGATGAAACATATTCATTCTTATACACTTCTGGAACTGTAAAGGCTGAAATTAGTTTTGATATTAGCAAGGCTGAGTTCCCTTTGGAGACTCTAGAGGAGAATCCTCTCCTCTGCCTTTCCCAGCTTCTGAGCTGCACTCTTTGCATTCCTGGGCTCATGGCCCCTTCCTCCATCTCCAAAGCCAGCAGCATAGCAACTCCATCTATAGTCAGATCTCCCACTGCTCTTTCCTAAGGACACAATCAGGGCCAATGTGGGTAACCCAGGGTAAACTCCTTACTTCAAGATCTTTAACTTTATCATGCTTGTGAAGTCCTTTTTGCCACACAAGATAACACTCATAGGTTTAGGGATTAGAACATGAAATCTTTGGGGATGTTAGTTAGCCTACCACAGAGGGTGAAAAGGGAGAAAATGGCCCAGTATGTGTAGGCCCAGAACATGCCAGGTTCTGAGGCATGCTAACATTTAGGTCAGACAGAGGAGAAGGAGCTATCAAAAGAGATTGGGAAAGAATGGCAATTGAGGAAGAAGACAGGCTGGTAGGAAGTCACCTTGCAGAACCAAGGGACTGGAGGGGTTCAAAAGGAAGGCGCTGTCAATTGTTGCTGAGAGGTTGAGTAAGGTAAAGATGGAGAAGCCACCACTGAGCATAGCATCATGGCCGGTGATCTCAACAACAGCAGACTGGGGTGTGGGACCTGGGCACCCCAGATTGGAAGCCATTGGAATGGGGAGAGAATCACATGGGGTCACCAGGTACAAGCGATAAGTGTGATAACTATTTATGTTCTGCTATCAAGAGGGGAGAAACTGCATTGAAAGAGGTTACAGAGTTAAGGAAGATGAATCTCCACATTCTGTTTTTAATTTTAAACATTACTGATGGCATCACAGAATCTCAGTAGGGAAATCTGATAAGTAAGGGAATGAAGTCCTTGAGAAATCAAGAAAGAATGAGCTCCAGAGTCCCACGGAAAGGCTGCCCTGCTAGGAGCAGGGACTCTTCTGACATTGTAACAGGAGGGAAGGGTGTGTGTAAAGTTGATTTTCTCAGGAGAGTGAGGCTCAGAATTAAGGCATGGGGTCCATTGGAGGAAACAGTGTTTGAGGAGCCTTATTACTTACAGAGTTATATTATTTTGTTTCATTTCTTCTGACTAGAATAACTGGCATAATCACAGCAGCTAAATACATACTTAAAAGATAATTTTCCTTTAAGACTTCATCCCCATTTAGTAATAGATAATTTTGAGTGAAAAAAAAAACATGCACATAGCCATCTTATGTTAAACTTTATTAAAAAGAGAAATGATGTAATCAAACTCTGCATTTTATGGTTTTGTTTTCATTAAAAAAATAAACTGAAAAGGAAAAAACTTACAACTGAACAATTTGTCATCTTACTAAAGGAGAGTAATAAATAAGGCATTCACCATAATTATTATGAAATTATGTAGCCTACAGATGTTTGAAACTGTAGAACGTGTATTACAAAATCACATTGTCAGTGGTTAACAAGCTGAAATTCAAAATCGTTTGTGAATCCTGTTTGATCTGACATTCAAGCAAACTATGAACAGAACTATTAGCGTTTGGATCCCCTTTTTTATGTAAACCTATAGCTTCTATCAAACTACCCGATTCCCCTTACCAAGATGAAGATGAGAAAGTATGACATGCCCCTCCACCACCAGAGTACTTATTAGGTCCTAGTCCTTCACCTGGATGCTCAAATGATCCACTGCTAACATGGGCATTGCCAGCCCAGGCCATGCACCTTGCTTCTCAGCCTGGTAATAAAACACTGTTGCGTTTATTACTGGGAGGCCTAATGTCTAAGCTTGCCTACAGAGAATGCAGATTGCCGCAATGGGTGGAATGTAGTTTCTCAGTAGTTTATTTTTGCACTTGAACCTTGGAAACTGTAAAACTTATTTTCAATGCTGATTTAACAGTTTTAAAAACTGCCACCAAGACTCTTTTACTCGCCTTTTTTTTTTCTTTTTCTTTATTTTCCTCCTTTCTTCCTTATAGGACTGTGTGTTTAAGAGGCATGGAATCCGGGACTTCTGAGAGATCCCTTCTCCTTCCACCCAGTCACCGGCGTTGATGAATTCCTCTTGGTGTTTCTCACTTGATAACACTGTTATTATTTCATAGAAGACAGAGACTTGGAAAGATGCCCCTGAACTGAATGAAAAATCAGACTCAAGATTCAAGCCCAGACTAGCCTCCTCCGAAGTTTGCCTCTCTTAATGAGATCTTGCGCTGAACTCCCCGGGAGTCTCTGACTCACAGTGGGAAAATGTAGCCTGCTCTTCCACAGATCCCAGTCTTCCACAGTCTGCAGTATAAATACAACTTCTCTTTTGATTTTTTGAAAATACAAGCATTGTCATAGAAACACATTGTAAAAACATTAAAACATGAAGTGAGTTATAAACATTCAAGTATTTTTGCAGGTTTGGGTGAAAACAGCAGCAATTGTTTTAAAAAGCTTATAACTCTACCTTTTATAACAATCAATGCACAGGTTATTTATATTAAAGGAGAAAAGTCCAGAAGAGCTGGCTAATGCCCCCCCAAACTCCATTTGGTCCAATTCTATCAGCAGATACTGACTTAGACATTTCTACAAACTCCTCAGAAAGATATTTCCCCTGGAGAAACTATAGGAAGCATCGTATGGAATGGTGTTGAAAAATCAGTGCCCTTCCTGTTAGATGTCTGAGGCACTGTAATGCCTTCTAGAGTTGTTCATTTAGAAACTTTGACAGTTAGTGAAGGAAGAACTGTTTAATAACTATGGAAGATGGAATGTAAAGATATCTTTCAGAGAGTCTCCCACTTAAGCGAATTCATCCCCAGAAAAGACTAAGAGTTGGCGCTTCTCAGTTATGCCCATGCTTCTTTTTCTGTGTTTAATACCTGAGGATTACTCACAGCCCATTGAAAAATAAGTAAACAAAAGCAAAGTGCTTTGGATGATGTTCCAGAGAATCAGAAGCCTGATCCAGGATCCTGTCAACCTTCCTTGGTGAATGATGCCTTGGTCCAGTTTCTCTGTTGGCTGCCATCTGGCTGGCCAGCTGTAGGGCCTTACCCCTCCCTGCTGAGGAAGACCAGACTGTTCACAGAGCATCTGTGGGGAGTGCACAGGACTGGACCTCCTGGTAAACCATCTGCTTCCTCGCAGAGCGGAGTCTGAGGGAGAGAATCACGGTGGTGATCAGGAGGAGGAGTCCAGTGATGAAAAGGATGACCAAGGCTGCCTTGGCTCCTCTCGGACCCAGACTCTTGCCAAAGAAATAGAGGTTCTCCTTGCTGGGTTGTTCTGTGAAAAGAAAAATAAAAAGTGAGGTGTCAGACCCTTGCCTTTTTTGGAGAGTGAAATGTTGACCCATTCCCATGCAGGATGAGGGTATCCTTACCATCAGAAGGCACTGTGGCCGGGTAGGACGGCCCTCTGGAAGGAGACAGACTGGAGTAGGGAGTCCTGTTGTCTGCATAAAGAAGACAAATTGATTGTTTTATAAACGACAAAAGGAGGTTCATTCCATTATATGAGTCATTTCATTTTGCCAGCGAGGACTTCATCTACCAGTGTCTGCCGGTCTTTCTTGGATTCTGACTTTGCTACTTCATGTCAATGCACAGTCTTTCCTACCCCATCCGCCTTTCCTGCTTCTGCTCACCCATTAAAATCCATCTGGAACGTCTTGTCTTCTGTCAAATGCTGGCTATTTCCAAATGGTTAACTGTTCCCTACGGCTGCTACTAAACCCTGTACTCTGCTATGACACCCGTCAGACTCTATTATACTTATGTACTTACATATCTGGCCCTTTTACTTGACTGAGTTCCTTGAGGGCCATATCTGAGATTTTTGTCATGCCTCCTGTTGTCTACAGGAAGCTTGGCATCCCTGACAGACAACAGTACCTATGTCCCGGAGGACCGTGTAGGTGGTCTCCATGCCAGCATGGATGTGGTCAGACACGTGACAGTGCAGCAACCAGGTCCCTGGGTGATCTGCAAACAGTTCGATGGTTTGGAATGTCATGGGAAAGAGATCATACACATCTTCTCGGTATGATTTATCCATCTGCAAAAATAAAACACACACACGACTTGTGGCTTTCTTTGTCCAGCATAGCAAGAAGAAAAAGAAGGAAAAAAAAACAGTAAGCAGAAAGAAGGAAATAATAAAGAACAGAAATCAATAAAATCAAGAATAGAAACACAATAGAAATAAATCAAAGAAACCTAAAGCTGATCCCTTGAACATATTGATAAAACTGATAAACCTTGTAGTAGCCAGCTTCCATAGTGGCCCAGTGGTGCTTGCCTCCTGGTACTCATAACCTTTGTAGTTCCCTCCTACAAGTATAAGGCTTGGTCTGTGTGACCAGCAGCATATGGGAAAGTAATGACATTCCATTTCTAGGGTGTTAAAGACCATGGCATCTGTCCTAGATGCTCTCTTTCTCTCTTTTCTTGGATCCCTCCCTCTGCAGGAAGCCAGTTCCCAGCCCTTACCCAGGTGGAGAGGAACTGAAACCTCCAATTAGCAGCCATGGGCAAGAGCTTGGAAGTGAATCCTCCAGCTCCAGTAATACCTTTGATGACTGCGGCCCCAGGTGACATCTTGATTGTTGCTTCATGAGAGATACCGAATCAGAATTTAACCTTGCTAAACTGCTCCCAGATCCCTGACTCAGAGGAAATGTGAGATAGTAAGTGTTTGTGGTTTTAGACCACTATGTATTGGAGTAATTTGTTATGTAGCAATAGATAATTAATACAAATCTCTAGACAGACTAAAGAAAGATAGAAAGAGACACACATTGCAAATACCAGGAATAAAAGATAGGACATCACTAGGATCTTGCAGACATTAAAAAGGATAAGAAAGGAATATTGGACAAATGGATTCCTTAAAAGATACAAACTGCTAAAGATCACTTCCTGAATAACACTGTATCTATTAAAGAAACTGTGATTGTATTAAAACCTTCTAACATACTAAACTGCAGGCCCCAATGGCTTTGTTGGCAAATCCTACCAAATATTTAAAGAAGAAATAATACCAGTTTACCAATTCTAAATAGACTCTTCCAGAATATACAAGAGAACACATCCAACTCATTTTATAAGGCCAAAATTACCCTGACCAAACAAATATTTTATAAGAAAAGAAAGCTACAATCAACATTCCTATGAACAAAATACTAGCAAATCAAATCCAGCAAAACACAAAAAGGATAATGTATCATAAGCAAGTAAAGTTTATACTGGAAATGAAAAGGCAGCTTAAAACTCCAAAATCAATAAATGTAATTTAGCAATGGACTAAAGAAAATCATCAATAGACACAAGAATAAAAATCATAGGATCATCTCAATAGATGGGGGAAACACTTCATAAAATTTAACATCTGTTCAAGATCAAAACTATCAGCAAACTAAGAACAGAAGGAAACTTTCTCAACCTGGTAATGGGACCTGCAACTAGCTTTTTATTCAACCATGAATGACTAAATGCTTTCCCCTTGAAATTAAGAATAAGATGACGATTTCCATTTGTGCCACCATACCAGAGGTCTTAGCCAATGCATAAGACAGGAAAGAAAAAGCATACAGATTGAAAATAAAGAAATAAGACCATCTCTATTCACAAACAACATAATTGTCTATGTAGAAAATCCCCCTAAAATCTACAGAAAAGCTATTGGAATTAAAATGAGTTTATCATTTAAAATGATACAAAGTTAATATGCAAAAATCTATTACATGTCTACATATTGATACTAAACAACTAGAAACTGAAATGGGAACATTACCTTTTACATTAAAGACCATAATATACTTAGGTATAAATTGATATATATAAGATCTGTATGCTGAAAACTAAACTAAACTGCACTGATGAAAGAAAATCAAAGAAGACTAAACAAATAGACAGATATACCATGTTCATGGGTTGGAAGCTTCAGTATTGTTAAGGTATCAGGATTCTCCTTGAGCCATTGTATGAATTCAATGCAATTTCAAGCAAAAGCCCAGCAGGAGTCTTTAATCAAAATTAACAAACTATTTCTGAAATTTATATGAGAAGGCAAAGATCTATAATAGCTAAAATAATCACCACCTGATTTCAAGACTTATAATACCTAAAGTAATCAAGATATCATGGCATTCAAGAAGGGACAGACAGGGCCAGTGGCTCATGCCTGTAATCCCAGCACTTTGGGAGGATGAGGCAGGAGGATCACTTGAATTCAGGAATTCAAGACTAGCCTGAGCAACATAGTATTCCATCTCTATGAAAAAACAAACAAACAAACAAAACCATTACCCAGGCGTTGTGGTGCATACCTGTGGTCTTAGCTACTTGGGAGGCTAAGGTGGGAGAATCACTCGAGCCTAGAAGTTTGCAGTTGCAGTGAGTTATGATGATACTCCAGACATAGAGATCAACGTAACAGAATAGAGAGCCCAGACATAGACCCATAAATATGTGTTCCTCTATTTTTGACAAAAGTACAATGGAAATTCAATAAGAGAACCAGTAATTTTTTCAATGAGTAGTAATGGAACATTTAGAAATCCATATGCCAAAAAGAAAAAAAAATGAACCTCAAACCATAGAAAATTAACTTAAGGCTCAGCACCTATAGCTTAGCAGCTAGGGCACCAGTCACATGCACCTACAGCTCAGCAGCTAGGGCACCAGCCATGTACACTGAAGCTGGCAGATTCAAATCCAGCCCAGGCCCACCAAAACAACAACAATTGCAACCAAAATATTGCTGGGTGTTGTGGCGGGCACCTGTAGTCCCAGCTACTTGGGAGGCTAAGGTAAGGGAATCACTTAAGCCCAAAAGTTTGAGGTTGCTGTGAGCTGTAATACCACAGCACTCTACTGAGGATGACATAGTGAGACTCTGTCTCAAAAAGAAAAAAAAGAAAAGAAAAGGAAAGGAAAAGAAAATTAACTTAAAATGGATCAGAACCCTAATTATAAAACCTAAAAGTATAAAACTTCTAAAAGAAAACGAAGAAATTTTTTGTGACCTTGTGTTAGGCAAAAATTTCTTATATATGATACCAAAAGCAAGATTCATAAAGGATAAAAAATTGGGCTTCACCAAAAATTAAGAGCTTCTGCTATTTGAAAGATAATGTTAAGACAATGAAAAGGTAAGTCGGGAACTGGGAGCAAATGTTTTCAAATCACATGGCTAATAAAGGATTTGTATTCAGAATATACAAAGCCCTCAAACTCTCTAGTAAAAACCAAACAATCCAATTTTTAAAAGTGGGCATAAAACTTGGATGCTTCACCAAAGATTTACAGATGGCAGTAAACAAATGTGTGGAAAGATGCTCAGTATCACTGCCCGTCAGGAAAATTATTTATAAAACAGTGAGATGCCACTTCACACTTCATACAATGTCTAAGAAAAAATACAATGAAATAAAACTAAAAATACCAAATATGTATGTGGAATATATGGAGTTCTCATATATTTCTGTTGGGAATGCAGAATGGTATGGTATTGTCTCTTAGAAAACAATTTGGGGTGGCACCTGCGGCTCAAGGAGTAGGGCGCTGGCCCCATATACCGGAGGTGGCAGGTTCAAGCCCGGCCCCAGCCAAAAACTGAAAAAAAAAAAAAAAAAAGAAAACAATTTGGCAGTTTCTTACAAAATCAAACATACATTTACCATACCATTTGGCAATCCTACTCCTAGTTATTTTCTTATGGGAAATGAAAGCCTATGTTCACACAAAAACATGTACACAAATGCTTTGTCTGTAATAACCAACCCTGAAAACAACCCAAATGTCCCTCAACAAGAGAATGATGAACAAACTGTGTCACATCCATACAGTGGAATTCTGCTCAGCAACCACCTGGAATGAACCACCAATACTGATGGGTGCAACTCAAATGCCCGTGCTAAGCGGAACAAGCCAGATTCAAGATTCTGCAAAGTATGTTTCCACATGACATTCAGAAAAGGCAAAGCTACTGAGACAGAAAATAGGTCAGCAGTTGCCAGGTGTTAAGCATGGGCAAACCATTGACACTGGAGAGTGCAAGGGGGAAATTTAGGGGATGACGGCAGGGTTCTGTAGTTTGGGTGGTGATTACACCACTGTACGTGCTTATCAGAATAGAACTGCACACTAAATAGGGTGATTTTATGCAGTGTAAATTATATCTTAATTTTTAAAATTTACACAAATAGAAATTTTTTATAATTTGTGTATCTTACTAAATTGTATAAACTTTTAATATACATTTTGAATGTGTGTCAAAAAAGCCAAATTCTGAAAAGCAGCATAGCCATTTAAAATGTGAAAACACTAATCATCGTAGGCTAATAATGTCCTAAACAATGTTAAAATATACAGAGGGGAAAGGCTATTAGATCTTTTATTAGCATTACTGTTTATTCCTGTTTAACAAGGAAAGGATCGATTCTAGTTTTCCCCACAGATTAGATGTGATTATTCTTTTTTATTCTACTTCCTTGTAGATGACACTGAAACTTGAGATGACTATTTGGACCTTATCCCTGGAGATTCTGATTCAGCAGGTCTAGGGTGAGGCCTGGCAATCTATTTTTTTTACACAGTTCGCAGGTGATTCTGTTGCACAGCCAGCACCACCCAGATGGTATATGAAGCTAGAGAACAGAAGGTCACACATGGTCCAGCCCAGCTCTCCAGGGCAAAAGTCAAGATAAAGTTTGCAGGCTCAAGCCAGAGTTCAAAGTATCTCCTGTACTGGGTAGGACTATTCTGTTAGCTAATTACATAGGAAAAAAAAAAGTGGGTGGGGAAAGGACAGAAAGGGACAGAAGAAAATGGGAAGATGGAAGGATTAGGCAAAGGAACACATACTATGTGCACTTTTACATACGATATTAACATCATCCAGTGCGATCAGAATTATGGCCGTAAGACTGTTGAAAAAAACTCAGGCGGGGCCTGGCGAATTTTCTACGAGCATGATTAATGTACACATACATATTAAGAAATAGCTGCCGGGCAAATGGAATAATCACATTATTCTGTTCCATTCTCTACTATGAAACACCACCCCTCATAAGCATTATTGCCAAATAACTCTCTTACTCTTCAGTGGAAATACTTTGAATCTGGTAGTTCAAAATTCTTCCCCAAAGCATTCTGCATACACTTACTTTGAAAAGAAAGCTCTCAGCATGGTAATGGATGGTATGGATGTCCACTTCGCTTCCTATCCCTAACAAATACCAGTTGGTCATGGTATTTTCATTCATTATGAGGCCTTGGAGATTCCCAAAAATCTTTCCATTAATAGCTGAGAAGGTGAAAAGAAAATAGCCTCTGGTTAGTGAGAAGATACTTAATCTGGTTTTTACAATGGCTTAAAAAGGTCTCTAGGTCACTGATATTTTCATTTATTTGGTAAACATGTAACAATCTCACTCACACTTACCAATGTCCCCACCATTCTAGACTCAAAATTCAGATTATTCAGAAATCCCTATACAATGAGAGCCAGGAAGGAAGAAATAGCAGTTTATTTTCTAAAGCTATATCTCAGTGGAAATGTTTGCTTTATTTATTCAGCATATTATCTTTACAAGGGAGGCTACAGGCTCACGGTAGCATCTCATAGCTGAGTGAGTGGTCCAAGGCACAAACAAACAAGTTTATACAAATCAAAATTGATGAAGTAGAAGATATGTTCTTAATATTTGACTGTCTTAGAACTAGTTTAATCCTGAACTAGTTCAGCCTAATCAACCAGTTATAGCAGAATCTCCAAAAAAAGGAGAGCTCCCCGGAGGCTGAGCTGCATGATCCAATGACCAAGGCAGACTGAGTTTACATGAGAGCGACTCTCAGGCCTCTGCTCCCTGCTGACTTTTCACGCTGTGCATCCCAGCACAGGCGAATCAGCTGCACTCACTAAAAACAGAGACCACACTAGAAGACTTTTGGTAGAGGGAAGCAGAGTTGGTAGGGGAGACAGTAAGTGAATCAGGAATCCGGCTACTGTAATCTGTATTAACAGCCAGTTTTATGACTGTGGGCAAAGCCCACCCTTTTGTGTACTTTTGGTCGAAAGTACATCTTGAGAGAGTATGGATGTGTGCACCTGAATACATTACTCCTGCTGAAACAAACAAACCCACCTTAAATTACACGGAATTAAATATTACATAGACGCATTAAAACAGAAATTTGGTGATGGCGTTTCATTGCCTAGAGCAGCGGTTCTCAACCTGTGGGTTGTGACCCCTTTTTAACAACGAAAATACATTGCAGCATTAGAAGTTTGAGAAACACTGGCCTAGACAATATAAACCAGGCCCTAAAATTTGAAGTTATTATGTATTACAGAAATACAGCAATAAGTGATGACTTCTGTTTGAAGAATTACATCACAGTCTCACAGTTTAGAGATCCCAGCATTCAGAGGTATGATGTGACCCTGAAAGTTGGTTCAAAGCCTCAATGACATTGCAGCCAGACAACAAATAGCTAAATTGGTTCTCTCTGAAGGAAAGCTTCACTCCAGGTGTCCCGGGGAGGGGGCAGGGCTCAGAGGAGGTGGCCTTCTACAGTTATAGGAATTTTTCCAAGCTTACTTCAACAATGGTCTTCTCTTTAAACCCCTGATTTACCGTGCATTCTGTTGCTCTCCTCAAAATCATCAGAGGGCTTAAAACTTTGTGGATCCTTATTGAGATACTTCTTAATGTTGTCATCCAGATACCAGGATTCATTCTCGTTAAATACCAAAAACAAGAGAGCAAATTCATAATCAACATCACTTCTTCTGCCCCTTTCATTCAATATTCCTTCTCGACATACAATCAGAGGACCCATCAAACCGCTGTATGTATCCTAAAAGAAAAATAAACTGAATTAAACAATTTGGCGATATTCCATTCCACCTGCCACCATTCTAGTGTAGGATCTTAATACTTTAGCCTAGAAAGTGGCTTCTCTCTGGCTCTGATTCACCCCACCTGTAGCCTATCTCCCAGATCACCACCAGATTAATCTCCACTCCCATATCTAGAAGTCTTAAGGGGTTTTCCATGGCATACAGAATAAAGTAAAATTCTTGGCCAGTCTGTGAACCCTTCCTTTTGCTCTCCCATTGAACTTCTCTTAGTTCCCCCCTGCTTTCCTTTTGGACCCTATACGACAGCCAAACGGGACTTTAACATGTCTCAAACATGCCCCTACTTCCCTATCTTCAGCTTTGCTCATAATGCTGTTTCTTCCTTGACTTTCTAAAGCTTCCTATAGTGCTTTGGTCAGCCCACCACTCCTATAGAGTTCACCAGATTCAGAGACATATGATAGCTGTAAGTGTGGACGTGTGTTATTATATTTTTCCCTACAAAGTTTTAGGTTTCTTCATGACAGCAGTACAACAAAAGTTGTAGAGTCATTTGCATATCCTCAGTGCTCAATAAATACTTATTGAGCTGCATAAAAAATGAACAAACAAACACAGGTTTACCGTAGTTCCAATATGTACGTTTATTTTTTGGAGAGCCTGGTATGTCTATCTCCTGTACTCCAATACTGCCCTCTACAACCCAAGGACATGAACACAAGCCTTCTAAGCTCTAAGAGGAAGGGTAAGATAATTCCTCCTGTTTTTCTATAATGAGTAATGGTTACATTTTATAGAAAATACGACTTTAGTTTGGACTTTGGCCTATGACACATAATTAATGATTACAGTTGTTTTATATACCTATACCTGACTCAAATTCAATATTGAATCTTGGCCATTTATTTCTAACTTGGACTATTTATCACTCAAATAGTTTTGTAGTTTCAGTTACTATGTCTGGCGTATGTTATCTTTTCCTAAGTGATACCTAGTAGCCCTAGTAATGCTGTTAGAATGAATAGATTCATACATCCCAAACTATGAATAAGTTACTATGTAAGTACTTTTATTCTCTTGTTACCTACAGACATAATCTCGTTTGCTTTAATATACCTCAAAAGCTCTTAATTTGGTAATTAAAACATTGGGATTTGGTTTGTTTTATCCTCTATAGTTGAAATCAAGGGTCAGCAAAAAAAAAAAAAAAATTTTAATGAAGCACCAGACGACAAATGTTTTTGACTTTATGGGCCATACCATCTTGGTTACAACCATAGCCAATGTACATGAATGAGTGTGGCTGGATTTGGCCAGCAAGGCATCATATGAGGTCCCTGCTCTAAATCATTCTACCCCTACAACTCACGGGCCTGAGTTGTGATGACCTGAATAGTCAGCTGACAGCCATATTATTTAAGTCTTTATATTGCTCTTTCCCCCTCACCTTCACAAAGTTAACTTTGGAATAGTAAACCCAGGGAATACAGCTGGGATCAGAGGGCCCTGGACCGGACCTTTTAGGGATATTCCATCTGTAAGTTTTTATTTCTCCTGTAAATAAATAAAACAAAATAGAAAGAATTTATTAATATTAGAGTTATCTATGCTCCAGATGATGTACCTGAGGAAATAAAAGCAAGTCTTTATATATTTTTGTTAATGTTTATTTCTGGAGAGAATTACCCATTCATTAGAAATATCCTTATTAAACTCACACCCTGATTTCTATAGTTTCAAAATGAAATGGCAGATTCATCATTTCAGACTCCAGCCTTCCTCTGGTTTGCCTTTTTCCATGGTCAGCTGGAGAGTATTCAAGAAATGGAGACTTAATCTTTGCCTCACTTTCTTCAAATTTCATTCCAGGAGCTGACCTTAGCACATCTTAGTTATTGAAGGTCTCAGCCTTGTGCTCTTATAGAATCTCCAGGGAGCTTTGTAAGCTCTTGCTGCTCAAGCCTCACCCCAGACCAATGAAATCAGAATATCTGGGGTCTGGGACTTGAACATCAGTTTCTTTGAAAGTTGCTTAGGAGGGCAAGTGAGATCCAGTAAGAACCAGAGAGAATCAGAAAGACATAGTTTCACATCTCAACCCTGCACTTCTGATTTACCCAACATTTGGCAAGCTACTTCCCTTCACTGATCTTTAGTTTCCTTACCTGTAAGGTGGGTTAGTCATCAGAGTTTTCAAATTGTTGTGAGGATTAAATGAAATAATGAAATTAGATACATGGGGTACTGGCTCACATTGTAGTAGTCAACAAGCATTAATTTTTATGTCTACTGTGGTTGTTCCTCCTTATCTTTGGGGGATATAGTCCAAGACCCCCAGTGGATGCTTAGAACCACAGATAGTACTGAAACCTATATAGACTATGATACATATGTATATATACACACACACATACACATCCCTATAATAAAGTTCAACTTATAAGTCAGGCACAGCAAGAGATTAACAATAACTAATAATAGAATAGAATAATTGTATCAATAACAATATAGCATAATAAAAGTTATACAAATAGCCTTCTTTTTCTCGGGATATCTCAATATTTTCAAACCAAAGTTGATAGCAGTGACAGAAACCACAGAAAGCAAAACCACAGATAAGGAAGAACTACTGTAATAACAAAGATACGGGCTCCTATCATCAGGCACCGTGTCGCTGGCATCCCTTGTGGTTGACCCAGGGCCTGAATTGGCAAGACAGTCACACTGTAAAAGTCCCAAATAAAAACCACACTTTATCATCATCTCTTTTTGAACTATTTGTGTCTCACACCCCCCACAATATCAGAACGACAAACCTATGGCTGAATATGTGAGCCACGAAGCAAAACAGAAGCACAGGCTGCAGGCAACTTTGCTGCATTTCAGCTAATACGTCAGTGGGTAGCTACACAACTTCAGATCTAGTTTCCAAGGTCCTAGGCCTTGTTGATGACAAGATGAACAGCGATTATTTAGCTTCTAAATGCAAACTGGCCCCAGGCTGGTGTTATTAAAGTTGGAATAATCCATTGCTCTCCCTGCAGCAAGTACAGCAATGAACGTGAAGAAGATGCTCCCTAAATGTGTGTTGAATGATTTAATTCAAAGGCTGGAGAAATTTCCTAAGGTGCTGATCTGTGCTCCTTTTCTCACACACGCCTGGACTGCCTTTCTCCTGCACCTTGCTTGGGCTTCATGCATAAAGTTAATTTCTTGTTTCTCCTCCCCCAGTCTCTGGGCTCTCCCAAACTTTTCAGCCTTGTCAGGAACCCTTGGGAAGAATCTCTTCCTCTGAGTTCAGGAAGAAAATGCTTCTTGGCCACCATCTAGTCCATTCTCCTCCCCAGCCCCAGGACCCTCACTTCAGGAGCTCTCAGAAGGCCAGTCAGTGCAGAGGGGCCCTGTGCCTTGCCAGTCCTCACATTCAGGGCGCAGCAGCCCCAAGGCTCACCCAGCTGGCCCACAGCCCTGCCAGAGGGCCCCCCCATGCCTGAGTGTCACCCTTCTTCTTCCCTCTGGAATTGCTTTTCAGCCATCAAAAAGGAATAACTTTATTCAATGGCTTTTTTGACCTATAAAAGCCAGACACCTCCACTTTAGAAAATATAGAAAGTACAAAAAATGTGAAGTAGAACAGCACTTTAAAATACCACTGCGAAGACATAACTATTATTAATATTTTGACTTATTTCACTTCCAGCCTTTTTTCTATATTTGTAGTTTGCCTAACACTCTGTCTCAAAAAAAGTCTCCCCTATTTCATTAAAATTATTTAAAATGTCAGTTATTGGCTGCATAATGTTCTACTGCAAAGATACCTCCAAATTTATTTCAGTATTTTTCTATAAATGGATAGGCAGGATATTCATGAGAAGTTTCTTGAAGCAGCACAAGCTTCTTCCACTGGGCAGAGGCAGTGGGAGAGTTGAAACAGTGTCTGGGGAAGGTTTTCCTTTCCCTGACTTCACCTTTGTACAGGTACTTTGCTAACTTTTTCTAGCAATGCAGTGGATTCTTTTTCTTTCTTTTATATATTTTTATTTTTTTAAGTTTATATGACCTTATTGTAATTACTATAGTATTAAAGATTCTAATGTTATTTTACATAAAAGGTAAAATGGAATATAACTACCCTCTAATTGTATCTATGGTTCCTATCAAGTTTGCAAGTGTAGGTCACAGCAGATCTTGACATTTATTACAGCCACACTTCCACTGTCTACGTCTTAATGGAAGCCTTTCTAATTGTAGTATCTTTCTTCCTTCAATACCTCTTTCAAAACCTAACTAGATCACTGGTGGGCTAGTGGTTAGAGAAAACATACACACAGAAGACTTTTGCTTTCTGGCCCAGCATGTGAAGAGTTTAGAAATTGCCACTCCACCTTAACAACAGTGAACAGTGAAACAAAAATCCACATCTCTTCTTAGATCTATTAGAGAAATGAGTTCACAGGGAACACCGGTGACCCACTAACTGGAAAGATTGACAAGTGGATGTAGAGAATCACAACTTACTGGGAGAGGAACCCTGAACAGAAACCTCTGTGGGAACCAGTGCGGGTGAGGAAACCTGAACCATAGTTGACAAACTGCTGGGGTCTCAGTGTAGACAATTTTGAGAATTAAAAACTCCAGGGGAACCTAGCCATAAGGGGTTCCCAGGTCTAAGATATAGTAAATTAACAAACAAACAAACAAACAAACCAAAACTCCTGCCAGGAGAAGGAGAACAGAAACTATTTTAAAACATGCCAAAGGGTTGGCACCTGTGGCTCAGTGGGTAGGGCGCCGGCCCCCTATACCAAGGGTGGGGGGTTTTAACCCAGCCCCAGCCAAACTGCAACAACAACAACAACAACAAAAATAATGGGGCACTGTGGCGGGCACCTGTGGTCCCAGCTACTCAAGAGGCTGAGGCAAGAGAATCGCTTAAGCCCAAGAGTTTGAGGTTGCTGTGAGCTGTGGCACCACGACACTCTACTGAGGGCGACATAATGAGACTCTGTCTCAAAAAAAAAAGACAAAAACACCAGAGCATGCTGTTCCCCTTAACAAGGTCTCCTTAAAAGTCTCAGGAGAGGCCGGGTGTGGTGGCTCATGCTTATAAGGCCACCACGCTGAAAGGCGAAGGCGGGAGGATCGCTCAAGCTCAGGAGTTTGAGGTGAGCCGGGCCAAGAGAGATGCCCCCTCTCTACTAAAAACAGGAAAACTCACCTGGCGGGCATTGTGGCAGGTGCCCATAGGCCCAGCCACTCAGGAGGCTAAGGCAGGAGGATCACCTGAACCCAGGAGTTTGAGGTTACAGTGAGCTAGGCTGACACCTGGACACTCTAACCAGGACCAGACAATAACACTCTGTCTCAAAGAAAAAAAAAAATAGTTTCAGGAGAAATTATTTTACCAAAGATTAGCTGCTGGAGTTTCATCAGAGTCTAACTGCCTAGAGGGAAATACCCAACTCCAGCCCCCTCCAGCCCCCTTCTCCACCTCAGGTGGGGGAAGTGGAGAAGAACCGGTGAGGTTCATGGTCCAGCAGCAGTTTGCACCAAAAGACGAATACCGATTCACGGAGACACTTCCTCTCCCCACATGCCTTACTCCTCCATCACTAAAGGCATGTTTACCACAGTTCCTTTTAGTCAGTACCTAATGTCCACTTTTCAACCAAAAAATTACAAAAGCATACTGAATAGGGGGAAAAAAATCATTCAAAGAAACTGAACAAACAGCAGAACCAGAGTCAGACATGGTAAGAATGTTGGAATTACCACACTAGGAAGAGGTAGAGCCTTCTGCTCCCAGGCCGCAGCCCTGATTAGCACCTTACTGTATCAAATATTGCAGGCAATTGTAACACAATGGTATGTATCTGTGAACTTAAACATAACTAAACATAGAAGCAGAAGAAATAAAGTAACTTTATGGGACCACAGCTGTACACAAGTCCATGGTTGACAGAAACACGGTCATGCAACAGTTGACTGAAATACTGTTATGCAACACATGCCTATGCCCAGAATTGATTTCAGACCCAGCAGATTTCAGAGCGGGAGAGTTATCAATAAGAATTCTCCAAGAAGACTTAACAATATGTCAGTCGTAACAAATGTCCCACTCTGGGAGTGCACTTTGATAAGGAGGAGGCCCTGAGTGTGTGAGAAATCTCTGAACCTTTTGTTCAATTTTGCTGTGGCCTAAAACTGTTGTATAAAAATAAAATTTATTAATTTAAAACACACACCCCCTCCAACTAGAATTCTACCTCCTTTATGAAGCTTCCCCTAATGATTCCTGTCCCTTGTTGTTCCTAATCAAGTCATCTTCATGGGTTTTCCTTCTGTAAAACTTTTATAAACACTCCCAGTAATAGTCCTGAAATTTTCACCACCTAGCATGTTCATGTAAAATCTATATCACTACTGAAATTACTAATCTTGCCTCCCCTCCCCCACCCCAAACCTCATTTTATCATTTGAGAGTAATATGAGGCTAAGAGCTGAGTCTCTCTCTAGTCAGACAGGCTCGGGTTCTACCGTTACTAGCACAAGACCTGGTCAAGTTCTTTACCCCTCTATGCATCAGTCATTTGTTAAGTGGACATAACACCACTGTATTTCACTGATTATAGGATGCAAACGCTCCATGTTCTGAAGTCAGAATGGGTTGTCCAAGCCGGAGCATGAGGTTTAACTGACAGCATGTTTTTCTTTTTTCAGTGACACACAAGGTAACACTGGATATTATAACCAGTAGTGTCAAATTTGATGAAATACGTTTGTTTCTACCTAACCAAGGTATTGCAAAGGTAAATGGGTTTTTAAGTTTCCTTTCTTTTTTTTTTTTTTTTTTCGGTTTTGGCCAGGGCCAGGCTTGAACCCACCACCCCTGGTATATGGGGCCAGCACCCTACTCCTTGAGCCATAGGCACCACCCCAAAATTTCTTCTTTTTTAAATATAAAACATAGTAGCTGGTGTAAAATCAACATTCAATATGTGTTAGCCATTATTATTTCTTACCACCCCTTGAGGTCCCTAATAGAGTCCTAAAAATTCCATAAACACATGGTCACTGGACGAATGAGATGATCTCATTCCAGAACTAGATGACAGCCAAGCGCAGTGATGTTGAGAGGAGCTCGTCAAGACTCCTCAGAGATGAGAAAAGAGTTGAAACTGGGGTCCTCCCCAGGGTGGAGCAGACCTCTGGAGTAACTTACCTGGATTTGTCACGGGCACTTGGTATTCCTTTCCCATATCCGTCTCCTCTACACCCTGGGCGGAGATGGAGTAGGGCCGCGTGGCTTTGTTCTTAAATATAATCAGGATTGAGTCACCCACCTCGGCATGAATCATTGGGCCTAAATGCAAAACATAGGCCTGTGTGCATGATCGTCGCTCTTTTCAACATTGATGTAGGTTATACATTGGCTGCATTTAGCAAAATAAAATGAAGGCCACCTTCTGCATGAGTACACTTTCTTTAGAGGGCAATGTTGTGGAGTATTAAATATCATGTAGTCTTTGGCAATGGGAACCACATGAGTTTGGATTCTGCCTCCCTCACTTATTAGAGAGACCTTGGATAAGTCATGTAATTTATCTGCGTCTCAATTTCCTTATCTGATATATGAGTTAATATCAGCTTTTGCATAGAGTTGTACATGTAGAAGGATTAAATACCATAATGCATGTCAAGTGCTTATTTCAGTGCATTGAAACACAGTAAGTACTCAATAAATGCTTAGCTTTTTACTACTACTGAGACAGAAATTCCAGAAAAAGCCATATATCCTCATGATATGGAGACTTTCAGTTGCAATCCCCCTATGTGTAACCTTTGGTTAGTCTGAAATTGCTCATTATCTGATAAATGAATATATGAAAACTAACCAGGATCCAAGGAAATAATGGGATAAAGGGGATTTGAAAGATCTGAGTGCAATAAAAGCATTGATGTATTGATTTATAATCAATACAGTGATTCTCTAGTGCGTGACCAATGCTGTTTCTCAATATTTGTGTACTTGAGCTCCGTTCTGCAGCTCCTCACATGTGCACGCATCTGTCGGCAGCAATCAGGCCGTCGTTTGCCAATGGGGATGAGCCCACACCCGTCTGACAGAGCCTCGGTGACACAGGGTGGCTGCCCTGCCCATGCCAGCACTCGCCTGGCAGGGCTCAGAACGTGCACACCCCACTCTGACAGACTCACGGCAGCCTTTATGGTGAGGGGACTCCCATTTCAGAAGCACCTCAAACCTGATCCCTGGGCCATTTCTGTCTTGGGAATTTGGTGCATTCTACAGTCACAGGGAGATCCACTCACGACCAGTGGTCTGGCCACACCCATCCATTCTTCACTGATTCAAGCCAGGATTTTAAATGCTTTCCTGAGAAAGACTTCCAAAAGCATAAATAAATCTAAAATTTGTTGAACTGTTTTCTCTTCAGAAGAAAATTTTTTGTGTGAATCAGGAAGTTCTGAAAAAGCATTCTTTTTTTTTTTATGATGAAGCTAGGAAAGAAAATTCCACACATGTTCTTAAACAGTAAGTTTGGGTGTAATTACAGGTCGGTGCAGCATAAACATACCTGGCAATTATAACCTGTATACTCACTATACCTGCTTAAGTTGCACACACTGACAGTGTAGGTAGCGAGAGCTAACGCCTACTGACTTACAAGGTGACAGGCTGCTGCTGGGGAACAGTAATGAATGGGAGGGGTACCTGCTGGTCCCCTTTGAACAACTGGAGTAACCCAGGCCTCTAAGCTACAGAAAATGAATGAATCAGCTTCACACCCCCCTTGGCCAAAGTGCTGTTGGGCTTGACTCTGATGAAGTCAGTGATTTGTGTCATTTTACTGAGTAGAACCTAACCAAGGCTCTTTGGGGACACAACCCAGCCCTCACAGCAAGGCCAGCACCTTGTCTGTAGAGCTCTGTCAACATGCACTGCTCGAGCAAATGAATGAATGCTTTCAGCCGGGCTGATTTGCTTGTCCGGTGTGATAAACAAGCTCACATGTGAATTTTAACAGACCGTGGAGGTGCGGGAAGGGTGGATGAAGCCTTTAACAATTTGAGAAGCCAGGAGGCATGGGGCCTTTCTCTAATACTGTACTGCCTATGTGTAAGGCCATACTGCTTATGTGTTCAAAGGCAGAACAGGACTTCAAGAGTCCTCTAGGTTAGCCCTCTGCCTTAAGGTCTTCCAAGATGGAGTCATTTCTAGTGACTCCCAGGTGAACACAAGTGGAGAAAGAAAGTGGGAAGGTCACCTCTGGTCGCCAGGTGTGCAGCCTGGGCTCTGAGAAGGCCAGAAGTCCGGGCCTCTCAAACTGAAACCAGACCTTCCACCCTCTGCGCCCTTGCACAGAGGGGCTGCTGTTTGGTCATTATTTTTATGGTGTGTTATGATGACACTGTGCATGGATAATCCAGGACCTTGAAGAAGTTATTCAAGCACTCTGGCTGTGGTTCTGAAACATCAAATTGTTTCAAATTAAAATTTCCTGGTTCAGCAGAAGTGTTGGGAAGAAGCTGTGGAATATCAGACACCAGCCAGGCTGCCCGCTGGCGTGGACTCCACTTGTGTGTTACCTGGTGGACTCAACAGGACTGTTCTTTGTATGGACTGAGCACACAGCACCCGCCCTGGTAATGGCAGCGCAAGACCATACTGCACTTGGGCAAATGCTGTCAAGCTACTCTGTTCCTCTGTCCCTTCCAGGTACACATCTAACAGGACATGTGTGTGCCGGTGCATGTGTGTGCCTATGTGCATGCTATGGGGCGACACTGCACGGCTGAAACTTGAGCCATACCCAGGAGTTCTAAGTGCTCTTCTCGTGGTGGCCGGGCTTTGATCTCCACAAATTCTCCATCGGTGTATTCCCTGTAAACCACCTTCTTGTACTGAGAGCCAATCCAATTTTCAGTGTGGTTCATAAATATATCTCCATGTCTGAAAGTCAAAAGCATCGGAAATTAAAGTTGCCAAAGACAGAAAAACCTGGAGTGCTCCTGAGTGATTCAGGGGGACTCCAGAGAGGTGCTCCCCAAGCTTGGCTGTGCTGGCTGTGATCACAGGCTCCCTGGGGAGCTGGCCTTTTGCACCAAACTCTGAGAGTGGGGCCCAGATTCTGCACTTTGAGGCTCCTTAGGTTCTGCTATTGGCAGCCCGGCAGCCCACAGCCCAACCTTGGAAATGCCTGCTGGGTGCTGGGTGGGACTGACCTTAGAGACTCCTAAGGACCCCGTGACTTCTCTTCTTGGGGTGAACTCAGCTCACACATGTGCACCTGTGCACAAGCACATTCACACACATCCACCCTCTACACCCTGATTCCTCCACATTTCCTATGTATTGTTCCATATGTGGTTAGGCTGTTTTCCACTTGGAAAGATCACAAGAAGGCCTGTGGTTATATATATTGTGCATATACCCATATGCAAATATAGGCAAATACAGTTGACTCTTGTTATTCATGGTAGTTATGTTCTAGAAAGTCACTGTGAATACTGAACTAAAGAATATGGAGCCATCGTTCCTAGGGAAAATATAGGGGTAGCTTCCCTCAAACTCCTAGTCACAATATTTTCATCAACAGATCAACATGTAACTTTGTTCTCTGTGTGTTCCTGTTGAAAGACACCTTTTTAAATTTATATTGCTGATTTAATAACATTGAACTCAGCAGCCAACAGCACTATAACCAATGCCTGAACAAAGCCTGCCTCATACACATATTTTCCCTGTAAGGCACATCACAGCCTTCTTGCCCTTGACATTGCTTCAGCACTATGCTTTCAGGGTGGGGGCATTTTAAACAGTGAAAGCTCCAACACAAAGCACACAAATTCAAAAACTGTGGCAGTAAATAGACCCCCAAACACTTGTTTACAGTGTGAGAGCTGAAGGGGGAAAGCAGAGAGATTCCTTGTGGAGGAAGGAAATAGCTCAGCTCAGCTGGAAACATGTACATCAGGAAACTTAAAATTTTTGCTACCCTATGAATATCTGTGAATGACCACAAAAGAGTCACAAGAATTGATTGGGAGGGGTTACAAATAAATTTTAGCAAGTAGGGAAACGTGCAAAAGCAGAATCCACAAATAATAATGATGGACTGCTCACACATGGCCTATTTAATCTATCGCCAAAGTAGATCATCACAAAAGACAGATGAAAACAATCCACTAATTTTACCTGGCAAACATAGTAAGGCTCACCTCCTGCCGTCTCCCCCTGAGAACTGTCTGCCTTCTGATTTCAGCTACCCGCTTCACTGACCTGTGTGAGCTGGAAATGGTCCTAACCATTCTCCCTGCCCCCAAAACACCTCTCTTCCCTCTACTCTCCACACTGCAGGCAGAGGAGTCCTAAGCTATAAATTCAACCAGGTTAATTCTTATATAAAGACTTTTTATGGCTTTCCACTGCCACACTCCTCAACTTGGCTCCAAAGCCCCTTCTCTATTGTGTTTGTCACCTCCCAAGTCTCATTTCTTACCACTGTCCTCCACCCATTCACTGTCTTGAATGGGATGTGTTCACCCTCCCGGCCAAAAGTGTGCTTCCTACCCCGTCAACTGACCTAGTCTTCATGTCAGAGCTCGAAGACTCCTTCCCTCCAGTCCCTTTCCCTGACCACCAGCCCACGGCCCACCTATCCCCAAGATGGGGCTGTGTGCTTCAGCAATAAGCTGCCACTGCGCTCTGCCCTTCCCCTCTCACAGTGGCTGCCTCACTCCTCTGCTTGTTTTGAAGTTTCCCCAGGGACCAGGAATTCTATGTGGGAAAGGACCTTGTCTTTCCTTCTCCATATTGTTTTACCAGCACTTTGTGCAATGCCCAGCACATAGTAGGTATTTAATACAGGCACATATACCGTCCCCCCTGGCCTGGATGCTTCCCAGGGGAAGAGAACTTTTCTTCTACTTTCATTTTTCCATGTTTCCTAGAAACATGTGTGGTGACCAGCACAGACCCTGCAGCCACATTCTGCTGTGTTCCAACTTTTTTCCCCTGCAAAATGCACCTGCTAAGGGACTGGCATGGGGAATATGAGTTAATAGCTGTAAAACACTACGTCAGGCACGTGGTGAGCACAGGATAGGCACGTGCTTTATTATCATCTTGTGGGGATGGTGCATGAGGTGCTGAGCAGAGCTGAGCAAATAGGTCAAGTATGCAGTGAGGATAATGTCAGAGAAGGCTTGCAAATAAAACCCTAGCAAAGTGCCTGGCAGACAGTGGGGCTCATCTGATCGCTGCAGATGGTTAAATTGCACATATATCAGTCCACAAGCTCAGGTACTAGGAAGACACATTTTTCTATCAAAACTTAATTTGTTTTCAAATTTCCACCCACTGCACAAACTACCCCCTTGTCACTGCGTGGATAGACTTATTTTTTGCCTTTCTAGAATCCTGACGCCTCTCCAGCATGTTCTTAGGAATCCCCTAAAGAAGGATTTACATGTTCCAAGTTGGCGCAGAAGGTCTGTGCTGATCAGGACAGTAAACGTCTCAGGGATAACCAGTATCAAGAGGCAGTTCAAAAACCAGATGTGCCCCACCATGGCCTTGGGGCAAAGTGCAGAAGCACAGAAATTGACATGGGCACAAAAGGGGCATTTGTCCCTGGGCTTTTATTTACAGAGATACCACAAATGTGCCCTGGGAGCCCTTGTTATTTCTATTCTGTATTGAGTTTTTATCTATAGCATCTGGTGAACCATGAACATGTCCTTTACTGCAATTGCTCTTATCTATTTATGGGCAATAACCAGAGTGACATAAAATGGATGGAATTATGGTATTGTACCCTCCCTTCCCTATCAGCAATTTCTACGTTACTTGGGAGATAGTTTTAGAAGACTGAAACTAGACCTTCCTGCTAGTCCAGAGGGATGGGGGTCTAAAGCATGAGTGAAAATGAGTGTAAGAAAATAATGAAGGCTGTAATTTGTGTACATTCATAGGCTAAGATTGTACACATGACCAAATTATTATACAATTATTTCTTTGGTTATGGCGGCCTTTTAATGAAATAATCATTTTACAAAAGGACAAATTAGAATTCATTTCATTTTCCACTGAACAAGCCTCAGTCTTTAGCTGACAGCAGTAGTTTTGCAGAAGAGGGGTGTCTGGTTTAACACGTAGATCAGTGAACAGTTGAATGGATTTTAAATCCTCCTGTTCTTGAGGCAAATCTTTCCCAAGGGAGGAGTCATTGGGGGTGGAGGTGGGGGTTTGTTTGTGTCTTTTTTCATTTATCCAGAAGGTGGCACTGTTATACTCCCTTTTCCAGAAGTGTGGACCCACCCCCGCCCCCCTCAAAACAAAGAACAACACGTGAAACCCTCGTGCTGTGCAGTTCTTTGTGTATGTCACAGCCCTTGAATGTTATACGAGGCGGGGGGAGTGGAGTGTGGTGGAAGGGCTCTGGGTAGGCGGCAAGGAAGAACAAAAAGGACCTGGGGCGTGAAGGGCAACGTGGTGCGCTGGAGGGATCACAGATCTGTGGTTCAAAAGATCTAGGCTGAATTCCCACTCTGCCAATGACTAGCCAGGCGCCTTGACCCTTTGCACCCAAGTTTCCACATCTGCGTATCAGGACCGTAAACCGAAACAGTGGGTTGTTGGCAAGCCCAGGCTGTTGACCTTGGTGTTGTAAGTCTGCATTCTGTGCCTGACTCTGCTGTTTAACTGCACCCCAGTGCACCCTGCGGAGCTCGGTCGCTGGGCTCGCCCGCCTAGGGCAGTAGCGGACCGGCGCTCCCAAGCCCGCTGCTGGCTCCAGCAGGCAGCACTGGCCATAGTGCTTTCAAGGGAGGGTCAATCTTGCGGACTTTCTGGGTACAGGGCCTAGTGGAGAGACCTGTCCTTCCTATCCCAATCCGCAGGCGATCTCTCCCGTCTATCTATCCTATCTCTCCGCAGGCTACGGCCTCCGGCCCCTCCCCAGTTGTCCCGCCCGGATGGGCGCTCAGCCTCAATTCCCCTCGACCCACACCTCCTCTCACCGTCTCTGCCTCCTCTGCCCCGGCTGTCTTCCCAGTCCCACTGTCACGGTGGGATTTGCCTCGTTCCCTAGACCTTTCCCTCCGCGCTCGCCCCCCGGACGCATCCGTCCATCCCTCTGCCGCAGGGAACCCGCGGCGGCCCGGAGCTGGGGAGCCTTACAGGGGCGGAGCTGACCAGCTTCCCCAACCTGTGCACGTAAGTGAAAGACTCTGCCAGAACCTGACGGCAAACCCAGGGCGTTTTTAAGTTTCTGCCTTGGCTAAAAGCGTGCGCGATCCCACCGAAGAGACTGGAGGCGTCGCCTGTGTACCTTTCCCCTCTCGCGTCCAAGGGCAGCTTTTCGAACTCCCAGTTTTTGTTAGGGGCATAATCCCATTCTACCTCTTCAGCAGCGATGTAAAACGTTCTTATCATCCGGTACGGCTGCTCAAAAGGGTCCTTGTTGCCACAGCCGCTGACCTCATATATCTGGCCCATGCCTCTCAAGAGGTGGTACATGGTGGCGCAGAGCACCCTGAAGGTACCTGGAAGAGAAACGGCCTGGTAGTGTGCGCTGCTCCATCTTTTGTTGTTATTGGTCTGTTTTTTAGCAAATCTATGTATTTTTTCCAAAATAAATAACCAACAAGGTGGATTTTCAAAATATCGATTTGATAGCAGTTTAAAATCAGACCCCAAGGGGAATAAACTACTTTAAATATATTTACTTGGAGGGTGCCATTTAAAAAAACTTACAAGGTTGTCGTAAGACTACAAGAAGTCTTCTCTGGGTCTTCCCCATAATGCACAGTTACTAGAAAAGGGTTTCTTCCGTAAAATCACCAGTAGGTGTGGTTATCTTAGCCCAGCCCAGTTTAGAAAGAACTAATTATCTGTGAGATGATCATCCTAAACAAAATTCAATTAGGCCACATTTCTGAAGCCATGTCTTTTGCCCTTAAAGGATTTCATAAATTAAAAAGTGCAATAAATATGTAAGATACTATTATTATCAAAGGAGTTTCTCATCTCCAGTGGCAGGTTTACATTATGCCAGATGAAAAGAAAAAAGAAAAAAAAAACCTAAATTTTTCTACATAATGCCAGCAATCATATCTGACTGGAAATTATGTGATTTTTAAAAATGAATTTCTAGATGCACTGGTAGATATAACCTAACTGCACTCACCATAAAATCAATAAAATTAATGAAGATGGTAACTCTCAATGAAATTATTAAATCAATAAATCTTCTCTTTCTCTTGTAAACTCTGTTCTTAGAGGTGAGTGATTAGTGTCACTAATCACTAGCAACCGTCTGCAACACACAGAGATCCTTCTACCTGCTACAGTATCACTCAGTTGTGTAACTATTGCAAGTTACTCCTAGATGAGCAAAAACTGCTGATTTAATGGGCTCCCAAGCACTGCCAGGCACTAAGGAGGACGGTAATGAAGGGCTTTGGGAAACCACAGAGAAAGCCTCTGGGGACAGACTTGGAAACACTGCGCTCTGCATTCGGTTTCTTCCAGGCAGCCCATTACTTACGTGTTGATTGTGGCTTTTCAATAGCCAAGAAATTATCTTCTTTAAGAACAAAAAAGAAATCTTTGAGTTGTAGCCTACAGTTGCCCCCCTTTTGAGCACCCGTCTTGGCTTATAGGAAAGGGACAGGGATTGATGAAATGATCAAGCTTTTCAGCAGTCACAATTGTAAATGCATCACCAAACATAAACCAGAAAACAGTCTAAACAATCTAACAGAAAACAATCTAACTAGAAAACAATCTTATAGAGCTTTTTAGAAGCCCATAGAGTGCATGAGTAATGATCAAGACACTGGGGTGAGTGGCTAATTCTCTAAAATCATTCTGGCCAGCTTTAGCTTTGAGAGCCTACTTCTATGGATTAAAATGATTTGGCTATTTCCACCATTCCCTGTCCTCTTTGTCCTTAAGGAATGTATTTTTAAAAAATCATTGTGTCCAAGCCATCTCTTGAGTGATTCATAATTCTTAACTATATTAACGTAGAGACATAAAGCACTGGTGAAGTTTATAAGGCAAAGATTCTGGAGCTCCTGGTGTCAGGGAGTCTTTGATCAAGGGTATAGAAGCCCAAGCCTCAAGTTCTTAATTGATGACATGAAGGCACCAAAACTGTAGTTTCTGTGTGAAGCAAAGTAGAGATCCACTTAAAAAAAATGGCAAGTACTCATCTTGGTAACATATTGGTGTCTTAAGACAGAAGAAAACATGGGAAGGCCCGTAACACTGGCTCTTCTCACTTTTCATGCAGCACTTAGCATGTGCTCTCATAGCTTGCTCCATGTCTTTTATTAAAACATTCCAATTATCTAATTAGCTTGGAATATCTGAGAGAGGCAGTTGTAGGTAATGGCATTTTACGGAGACGTCCATGGACTGCAAACCCAGTGCAGCTTGCTCTGTGGGAAAACCAAGAGTGCCCAACAGAATAAAAAGATAGAAGTCTCCAAATAACCCATCAAGAGGCTGCTATCGGTCCCTAGAGAAGGCAGACCCAACTGCAATGGTGGTGGTTGTATCCGTAGTCTGGAAGCATCTCCTGGGCTGTTGGTGCCTGTAGATGCTTCAGAGAGACACCTGGAGTGATGTTCATGCTTAGTGAGCACAGACATCCCTGTGTGTCAGGGCTGACTTTGTCATGGATTGTCATTCAGAGGGCTCCTACTTTTGCTTCACAGATGTTATTTTAGATGCTTCTCCTACGTCCTTTACACTGTATGTTTGGACTGATAAACTGAGCGAAATATCTGATTTTAATCAAGATTACATCCATTTCAACACCCCCTGAAGTGCCCCAAGTCTATCAATTTCTTCTAGGAGAGGACTCGAAGAGGATGGGGCCTTAAGGTGGACCCTCCATGTTTACCTGCACGATCTGGTTGCATGAATGCTGTCGTGGCCATGTGGGGAAACAGGGTGAGGGAGTCTCGGTGAGTCCCTCGGAGGTGGATGGTGTTCCCTTGAAAGGAAATTCCATGCATGTCGGTGTCAGTACCCAATCCAATCATATGCCAAGAAACTCTATCCTTTTTGCACATGTTCAGGCCTGGCTGGTTGCCGTACATGTAGCCATTGACAGCTAACAGGAAGGAAAAAGATAGTCAGAGGCTGCTATGATTATGTAGATGTGCTGAAAATATACCATCTTAGTGGAAAACATTGGGAGGGATATTCAAGTATGTAAAACTATTGACAGAAGATCCTTGTTATCAGAAAAAAATAGTACTGGGAAAAAGCCAAATAGCAAATCAACTTAAAATAGAGCCCAAAGTTAATAATGAAAATATACTAAAATTACTAAAATGTCATATTAACAACACATATGCAAGGACACTGATTCCAAGAATCAATAAGGAATAACCCAGGTTGTTTTCTGACATTTTTTTGACAAAACTGGTTCATGGCATGTTATGGAGATAATATCCTTCAGTTTGTGTTTTATTTTTACATATTATAAAGAGTACCATTCTTGTAAGCATTTTAATGACTTCACTAATTCCTCCATATTCTTCTCTAACACTCTGTTTTTATTTTTTGAAACAGAATCTCACTCAGTCTCCCTGGTGGAGTGCTGTGATGCCAGCATAGCTCATAGCAACCTCAGACTCTTGGGCTCAAGAGCTCCTGGGGCCTCAGCCTCCCAAGTAGCTGGGACTACAGGTGCAGCCATATCCTCTGGCTAGTTTTTTTTTTTTTTTTTTTTTTTTATTTTTAGTAGAGACAGGGCTTGCTTTGCTAAGGATGGCCTAGAACTCCTGAGCTTAGGTGATCCACCTGCGTGGCCTCTCAGAGTGCTGGGATTATAGGTGTGAGCCACCATGCCCGGTCTCTCTAACACTTTTGATGTGAGGATCATTTTCTTTGGAGGTTTTTATCCTATCATCTCCTATGTTAAATGTTTCTTCCTTGGTTACTAATACGTTTAATTCTGTCAGACCCTCATTTGCCAGTGGCATTGCATTTTCTCCTAGAAGTTATCAGACATCCTTTTCCTGTTTACATGGATTCAGAATCATCTGAAAAACTTTCATTCAAGTGACACTGTATTTGTATGTCTGGTCACTGGAGAGGGAATTTGGGGGAGTGTGGGATCACTATGTTTATAAGAGGTTAGTTCTTGAGTAAATAAATTTGCTTTACGATAACTCCTACTTCCTTACCCCAATAAAATAACTGCAGGGACTTTAATAATGATTACTTAGACATGAAGACTTTCTGTGCTTCCAGAATGGCAAATTGTTTTTATCTCTCTGAGGCAGTGCCTTGGGAGGAATTGAGAAGCCACATCCCCACCGTGTAGAGAGGAGCACCAACTGAATAACAACATCTGACAGGTGATACACATAATTAGGTCTCACATTTGATGCCCCAAAGAGAGATAAATATTCTACCCCTCTCCTACTCCCTGCTAGTGTCCCTGTCAGGAAGGAACAATTGACATACACATAAACATGCTTTGTAATCCCATTAGCAAACAAAATTACTTTTTATTTCTTGTCGGCAGAACCAGTGGTGCTCGGTAATTGTATTAAAATATGAGATTAATGTTAGAAATTTCAAGAAGGCCTGGGGCTTCTGAGAACACCACATTTTCTGGAAAAAAATATCCTGGATAATGCTTTGGCAAATCTTGGTCTAAATTTTGCCCATCAAATGTTAAAAAGGTACACATGTAAATCAAGGTGCTAATAAATTTAGTCCTTGCCTGCCTGGCTGATAGAGAATCTTCTCTTGCTTTGGGACTCTCGATTAAAGTCTCTCTTTCTGGATCATTCACTCACTCATCCATCCATTCATTCATTCAACACACATGGTATTTTTGAATACAGCTTATATAACAGACACAACACCAAGCACTTTTGCAGCCTGTGAAGCCCCTTCTCTTTGGCTTTGTTGCGAGCAAGAGTGAAGCTAGAACTTAATTTATAATTAATGTGGAATTTGATTAAGACATATTATTTTCCTTGAACTTTGCTTTAAAAACAACATATCCTGCATTTCTAAAATACAAACATGAGTTTCACATTGCAAAGCAAAGCTGGAGCTCAATTTGACATGGTGCAATTGGTTGTTTAATATTTTCTATATAAAAAGTCTTTCTGAGGATGAATTTCTCTTACAATTTAGCTTCTCCACTAAGAAACTGCTATGTTTCTATAAGGATACTGGTCTAGCTGTTTCTGCCCAGTGAAACTCCCATCCTGTCTCTTGTTTAGTTTTCAAGACCATCTATTTTCAACTGTTCCCCTTCCATGATTCAAATGAAATCACGGCATACCAATGAACTCACTCCATAAAATGTGTTTCTCAATGAGCCTTATCCACTGGAAGAAGTTATGAAAGAAGAAACCACTGCCCGTTTGTCCCTTCTTCTGAGTTCAGCAAAATAGACATTTTATTTTTAAAAACAACAGGAAAGGGGACTGTAAGGATGGTAGTTCTTTAGAGTGAAGTGATAGAGAAATTACTAACTCACAGTTTTCAGTAAGGACTAAAATCCATTTTTCTCTCTGCCTGCTTTCTTTCCACGCCCTCTCTTGCTACAGGTGCCCTGTGGAGTTCCCTTTTCACAAACCATCAAAAAGAACAGACAAAAAGAAATGTAAATCCTTTCTCTTTTCATTTCACAAACTCGCTTTCTAGTTATTCCTATAGCCAGGGGATTCCCGAGCCCTTCCTGAAGGAGCAGTGGGCTGTGAACCTCACATCTGAAACGCCCCTGAAGAGTCGGTCTTCCCATTCCTAATACCTTGTGCATTTGGCTGCGATGGCTTTCTCTCTTTGCTGCCCTTAAATTCAGCCGCAGCTTGATCTCAGCTGCCGCCATTCTTCCCTTCTGTCTTGGGATGCCACACCCGTGTCCCTGCTTTTTTTCTTTTCCCCACTCTCTTTCTCTCTCCCTCTCTTCCTCTAAGAAGATAAAATACCTTTATACTTTTATACCCTAATCTTCACCTAGAGAAATTCTTTTCTCATCCTGTGAGCATCTGCTAAGATTTCTGCCCTACATTTTCCTCATTTGTAGCTTATTGGCTCTTCTTTATTGTTTACCAAGAAGTTTAGAAACAAATTTCATATTTAGCTATACGAAAACTTTTCTTTTTATAGAAGATGATACTGAAATGGACTATTTCGTGTTTTCCATGGTCTAAGAGGGGACCCTGTTGGAAATGCCCATCTGGGACTATGGGAGTCTGTGGCCTGGTTACTATGTGGCCCTTGTAACCTTGGGATTTTGTTGGACCTTCCATGTCAGGGAAGGAGGCACTTTTGTTGACTGCACACTTTTGTAAGCACTTTTTTGAGTATAGATTCTTTCCCATTTTGAAGAGCAACCTGAGGAAATATCCTTGATTGTCTGAATGGCATCAAAATTTCTTCCTTTGAATATTCCCTTTATCTTCAGGTAAAGAAAAAAGTCATCAGGAGGCTGGACATGGTGGCTTATTCTTGTAATCCTAGCACTCTGGGAGGCCACGGCGGATAGATTACTTGTGCTCTTGAGTTTACACCAGTCTGAGCAAAAGAAAGACCTTGTCTCTGCTAAAAATAGAAAAATTATCCAGGTATGGCAGATGCCTGTGGACCAAGCTACTTGGAAGGCTGAGGCTGGAGGATTGCTTGAACCCTGGAGTTTGAGTTTGCTATGAGTGAAGATGATGTCCAGGCAACAAAGTGAAGACTGTCTCAAAAAAAAAAAAAAAAAAAAAAGTCACTGGGGGCCAGATCAAGTGAGTAGGGAGGGTGTTTCAATATAGTTATTTATTTACTGGCTAAAACTGTCTACAGATAGTGGTGTGTGAACTGTGCGTTGTCAAATGATGTCAAGCCATGAGTTGTTCACCATGATTTTCAGTTAAGATTTTCCTGTTTCTCTATTGATGTTTACTTGCTCTGCTGTGCTTGTCATAGTCAACCAACGATTTTGACACACAATTCAATTAATTTTGCAATGTTTTTGTCAGTTCTACTCATTACTGGGAACTCTCTTCATCAGTGATGCTTTCTTTCCCCTCACAAAAGTGTTTAATCCACTTGTGTTCACCTATTTTCCGTGGCATTATCCCCATGAACTTGAACTAGCATGTCCCTGATTTCACTTCCACTCTTGCCAAGTTTAACAAGAAATTTATGAATGCTTGTTCGTTGCTTTAATTCAAGCTCTAACATTCTCACAAAAACATGCCATAACCATAATGAACGTCAGTCAGCAAGACACCGTCACACATCAACACAACACAGTGGTGAGACACTGATATACCCAAGCTATAAAACCTACCGAGTTATTTATACAGTGCAGGTCCGTGAACTTAACTGTGAGACCTTGTATGCCCAACACTAATGAGCATCCTGTGTGGTCACAACCAGTTAGCAGGTGGTTTGCTACTGATAACACTTGATATGAAGAGAGCCAAGAAGGGAGATATGTAATCCTCCCAAATGAAGACCTGGGATAGGAACACCTAGTGCTTTACAAATCGACACTTTCAGCAGTCTCTCGTGCTACTTAATTAGACAGACTTTGCTGTCTAATTCATCATCATAATGATGATCTCCTATTATCACTTTGGTTTTCAGACTTAATGATGTTATTGTGAACCCAGTGGGGGGCATCTTTGTCAGTAATTTTCTACCTTTATGATGAACTGTGACCTTTGCTAGTTTAAATTATGTGTTGTTTCATCTGAAGCAGATAAAACGTTTTAGAAGGGTTTTAAGTTTTACAACATCTCTGGGAGGTAGTGAGGTTTCAACACATCCTGTGCAGATGAAGGCATGAAATAACTTACTTGTGACCAAGAACAAAACCCACGAAACCAAAATTAAGATAATTAAAACATTCTAAATGTTTTCACTTCAAATGCAATTCAGCCTTTCCTCTGCAGGAGGGAGAGTCGTTTGCATACCGTGCATTCGGTTGGACTTCACAAACTCTTTATCTTCTTTGTCAACACTGACAGGACGCCAGGTAAACTTCTGAATGTTTTCATCAAGATACCTGCTCAGATTCTCATCAAAGACTGTGAACAATAGGTAAAACTCCTTGTCTATTCCTTTCTACAGAGAAGAAAGAAATGAATACATAAAAAGTGCCGCTTGGAGGAGTCTGTAGCATGACCTCGCTTTCAAAGTTCACACACAGTGGGTTACAGTTATCACCATCAGTCACGGACTCACCGGGTCACTTTGGAAATCAGGATTCTGAACATGATTCACCCAGAAAGTTCATCTTTCTCATGATCTCACTATTCCCATCCGTGTGACTTCCTCCAAGGAAACCTGTGCCTGCTCAGAAGTCGTTCCTCTCTGCAGTGCTCCCATGCTCAGGCTGGTCCTCACTGTTTTTTCCCCTGATCATGACCTCCATGGCCCTGTCCAGCCTCGCTCACTCACCGACTTCGTCTCCTCTGCTCACCTGGCTTACCCCAGCCACCCTGGCCTTTTGCCTTCCCTGAACATACCGATCTCATGCCTGCCTCAGGGCCTGTTCATGTGCTGCCCCACTGCCTGGAGGGCTCCCTTCCTGGGTCAGTTCTCTGTACAGATGTCATGTCCTCAGCCCACACTCACTCACCTTAACCTACTTTACTCTGCTTCATAGCACTTAGCTCCATCTGGAACTAACTGTTTTCTCCACTGCAGTGTGGGCCTTGTGAGTATGCAGACATTTTGGGCTCCTCTCCGTATCCCTAGCTCTAAGAAAAATGCCTAGGAAAGCAGGCATTCAGGGCGTGTTTGTGAGTGAAATAATGAATTCATATAACTGATGAGACCTGGTTCAGGGGAACACATTCAAGGTGGAGAAGGCTGTACAGAAGCCTTAAGCCAGAGGCTAGCTTGGCCTGTACAAGGAACAGAAAAGATAAAGTGGATGGAGCACAGGTGGGCAGGGAGCACGATGAGAGACAGCAGGGAACCAGAGGCCGGGGACACAGGGCCTCGGTCGAGAAGCCATAGGAAACCACTGGAGGTGCTGAATAGGGAAGTGACTTGATCTTATTTTCATTTTAGAAATATCATGCTTGGGTGGTACCCGTAGCTCAGTGAGTTGGGCGCTAGCCACATACACAGAGACTGACAGGTTCGAGTCCAGCCTGGGCCTGCTGAACAATAATGACAACTGCAACCAAAAACTAGCTGGGCATTGCGGCAGGTGCCTGTAGTCCCAGCTACCTGGGAGGCTGAGGCAAGAGAATCTCTTAAGCCCAAGAGTCTGAGGTTGCTGTGAGCCATGATGCCATAGCACTCTACTGAGGGCAATATAGTCAGACTCTGCCTCAAAAAAAAAAAAAAAAGAAAAAAGAAAAGAAAAAGAAAAAGAAAAGAAAGAACATGCTTGGTGCCCTGTGATGAGATTAATCATGGGGGAAAGAGGAAACTTGAAGAGAAGACAGCTCAGTGTAATGCCTCATCCTAGATCAGAGCCTGGACCGGGACAAACATTTTTTCTTTTGCTATAAAGGACATCAAGAGACAATTAGTAAAATTTTAAAAGGTATGTATATTTGATGATATCAAGAATAATTTTTGCCTGGACGATTTTGCTATTTATCAGAGTGACCTCATTTTTCGGAAACACACACCAAAGAGACATCATGTTGCAACCGACTCTCAAACATCAGAAAAAAATGCAGAAAAACAGAGAGAGAGAGGAATAAAGTAAATGTGGCAAAATGTTTATATTTGGGGAATCCTGGTTAAGGGTTTGTGAGGATTCTTTTTTTTTTGACATTCGTCTGTAAGTCAAATTATTTCAAAATAAAAAGTGTAGGTAGATATAGCTGGGTAGGAGGTGGAGGAAGGGAATAAAAGAAAGAGAGAGAAAGAAAAAAAGGAAGGAAGGAATAAGCCAGGAAGGGAGAGAGGGTAAAAACTGGGAGTTTGGTTGAACCTTTAGTATAAAGAGTCATAGACATTAGAAAACAGCCTGATCACCTGACCATATCCTGTGACATCCATCCACTGCTGGGGATTTATGACAATTTACTAGAAAGAGATGCAAACACCTCTTTGTACGTTCCTCTCTCTACTTTCTTCGAAGAGGCCTGACCAGGTTTGTGTGTGTAGGGGGCCTGGCACATGGTAGGTGCTTCATAATATTTCCTGTATTGAAAATAACTTTCTATCTGGTCAAATAAAATTTTCTTGGGCAAATTCCAGGTACGGATATTTCAAATTACTGTGGGTTTTTTTTTTCCATGAAATATTGTGTAAATAGCTCATGAATAGTACTGGCTTAGGCAGCAATTCTCACAGACTGCAAGATGTTTCTAGGAAGACTCAAAGTTACACTCAATGGATATAACGGGGCAAAAGCAGAGCCACTTTTCAAACATTATCTGTTTAGCGGGTAGGATGCTCAAATCCTAAGTTTTATAGCTGAGTTTTACTTCTTCCTACCTGTATTTCTTGGGATTTTGCTCAGTTTCTTCAGCTTTAGAGTAGGGATAATTATTCTGCTTTGCTTTATATGATTGTACTTGTTCAGACTTACAACACATGGAATAGACATTTCCAGGATTGGTCTTTCACGTAGGGAAGTGAAAATCCAAAGTGGACCAAGATAGTTTGTATCCTCCCAACCTGGAAATTCTTTTGAGCCCAGAAGTGGGCCCATATGATGTCGGAAACTAGAAGATACACCATTTAAACAAATTGCCCTGCAGTTTCTAATTGGTGAAGTAAATGGTTAAATGACTGGACTTTCCTCTCATCAAGTGTTTAATGCTGTGCTGCCTCAGCTTTACATGCTATGCTTTGCCACACTCATCAGCATAACCATTTCAAGCCTCTAAATTGGAACTTGCAAGAGGTTATCTACAAATGTTCTCCTTCCTTCAGCCGTGATAATTAACCTCCAGTTTACAATAGTGAGTCACAGTGGTTCTCAGCCTTGGCTATACATTGGAATATTTAAAAAGTAATAGTGGTCCATTCAACAACTCAGTGAAAATCCACAAAATATCACTGGAGTGCCTCCTCCATGGAATATATTTTACTTGGCCCTGTAGAAGATACCTCCTTCCCTTGTCCAAGAATAATGCCAGTTAAAATTCCACGTGCATTTCATGATTCCAGAATCAGAGCACTACCAGGAAAAGCCCACAAATTTCAGTAACCAGCAAGGAGAAATCCTAGGTTCCTGGGTGGGCATTTGCAATTGGAAATTCAGATCTTAAATTTTTGTCTCCCAAAATAAAATAAAATTCTCATTATGTAGAAATCAGTTTCAAGAGGAGGGAGAAGAAATCACTCCTTGCAACTGACTCTCATCAGTTATCTCTAGTGATATCATGAATCTCTCCCACATACAGCCCTCAGAAGAACTGATGACATTGGGTGGCCTACCTGTGTCCCATCAGCATTGAGAACACCCTTTTTACAGACTAGCAAAGGCCCTACCAGGCCAGAGTTTGTGTCTTTGATTGGGTCAACTGCTGAGAAGTAAAGATAGGTCAGACAGGGAGGGTCATCAGCCGTAGGGCTCACGCTTTCAGGCACTGTCCACCTGTATGTGAAGGTTTCACCTGGTTTAACATGCGCCCCAGGTTTCTGAAATCCTGAGAATATAAATGAAACAATTACTCAATGCAGCAGCCAAGAGCATCAAACTTGTCATACTGGGTCTTCTAGCCTTCAGTGTCTCTCTCTGATGATGAATTTTGCATAAGGACAGTTGTTTCCTCTTAGGTTCCCTATCAGAGGAGGCCACTGCCACAGTCTGCTGTTTTGTGGGACTCAAGTTAAGAGATTAACTTCTTCATAGATTGTATACTATTTCTTACTCAAATGCCAGGCTTAGCAAATATTAAAAAAGTAATAGTGGTCCATTCAACAATTCGATGAAAATCCACAAAATATCACTGGAGTGCCTCCTCCATGGAATATATTTTACTTGGCCCTGTAGAAGATACCAAGCAAAATTAAGCAAGAGAGATATTTAAAGAGTTTGAAACCTAGAAGACTGAACTAGGAAATAACTCAAATAACTACAAGGTGGAGGAGATTAGTGAATGCCCAAGATTACAAAGCTGATAAAAGGCAAATCTGGGATTCACATTCCGTTTACCTGCAGAATCTCATGCACTGTGCAGCAGAAAAGCTCTTCATCTTATAGAAAAGGACATGGTTGTGAAAGTAGCTCACTTTGAGGTTTACTACATTGCAAAGGGAAGAGGAGAGAAGTTAACATTTTCTAAGAACCTACTCGGGGCCAGACCCTGTCCTAAATTCTCCCCATCCTTTTCCAAATCCCTGTGAGCTGTCGTTATCTTCATTTGACTGATGAAAAGAATAAAGTTGGGAAAGTTTTAACAATTGCCCAAGCTCTCAAGGATGGTGACAGAAAAGACCAGGATTTGAACCAGGCGTGTCTAGTTCTAAGACCTTTACTCACCCATGCTGTTTCCTCCCGAAGCCTGGGCTACGACTTACCATCTATGTTTGGGGCTGCATCGGATGCCTTGTCATAGATCACACCATGGGGCAAAATGCTGTAGGCTTGGTCAGCTTTGTTGGCAAAGGTCACTAACAAGGTATCACCCACCTCTGCCTTGATGACTGGACCTGAAAAATATCGAGAGGAGAATGAATGAAAAATATCGAGATGGAAAGAAGTGAATCAAGGCAGAAGAGTCATCCTATGTAGATGTACATGCCCAGCCAACGTCGCCCAGGGTTCAAAGTATGAAGGATGGTTTTACTGTACCAAGAATTCCAAGATGGACTTCTGCAGCAGACAGTCTCTTTCTTTGGGTAAAAGTCACGTCAACAAACTCAGTATATCGAGCTTTCCAGTATTTTCCTCCTATTCTATTGTCTCCTTGTGTGAAGTAGAGCTCCGAATCACTGTGAAAAAACACAGGATCCAGCCTGAGAACACATTTAAGTATATCTACCAGATGCTTTAATCATGGAGCTTCACTTTATTATCTTTAGTCCACTCACCTACCCATCTGCCCAGAAAAGACAGCACAGGCTTCAGCAAAGTTCTCAGAAATAGTCAGGCAGCCTGAACAGTCTTCAGAAGCAGGGCGATGCTTAAGTTCATCTTTGCCTCAGCCACTGTACTTTCTTCCCCCAAAAGTCCAGCAACCAAACAAGGTGTAGGTAAGCTCCTTACTTACCAATGTTGCAGTCCCAGAATGGTGTTCTACACACTTACAAAGAACTAACTGGTTTCTTTGCAGAGTAAGCAACCCTCTCTCTCTTGCTGATGTCAATATGGTTTCTGCATCTAGGAAGCTCTTTGGTATCTGGCATGATTGAGGAATGGAGCGTCTACTTAATCAGTAGTTTAATCAGTGGAGTGTTATCATATAAACTACTCATATATACATGAAATACCAAATTTTCAAGTTGCAAACACAACAATGTGAATTTTGACTAAGACTGTCTCTCTACTCTGACAACGGTATCGACACTCCTGCAGGAAGGTACCCTGCTTTTGTCTTCTTTTTCTGCTTCATCCTCTTATCTCATTCGTTCTTACTTTGTGGTTTTTTGTTTTTGTGTTTTGGGTTTTTTATTTTTTTTTTTTTGAGACAGAGCCTCAAGTTGTCCCCCTGGGTAGAGTGCCGTGGCATCACAGCTCACAACAACCTCCAACTCCTGGGCTCAAGCGAGTCTCCTGCCTCAGCCTCCCAAGTAGCTGGGACCACAGGTACCTGTCACAACGTCCGGCTATTTTTGGTTGCAGCCATCATTGTTGTTTGGTGGGCCCGGGCTGGATTCGAACCCACCACCTTAGGTGTAGGTGGCTGGTGCCTTAGCCACGTAAGCCTCATTCTTACTTTGTAAATATCTTTTTACACCCTTCTTTTTCTACACCTTTTGTGCCTCTTTTCTTTTTTCTTTCTTCCCACTGCTACAACCCCAATTCATGCCCTGATTGCCTTGGTTCTGGACCAAATATGACCCTTCTAACCGCACACTCTGCATCTTCTATCTCACACTGGCTCATGCATTTTTCCCTTAACATACACACTACTACAACATTAATCTGGACAATTGTCATTTACCTGCTTCAGAAATCTTGGATTGGTTCCACTGCCAATCAAAAAAAGTTCAAAAGAATTGAAAGTCCTCTGCAGTTGATACCCAGTTTTCTTTACCCCATTTCCTCCCTATTTACCTGCACAAATACCCATTCCTCTATGCGAATCCTCCACACTAGTCATACTGACTCATTCACTCTCTCCTGTACAATAAGTGTTTTGAATTAATTCCTGCATCTAAAATTGCTCTCATTTGTGGGACATAGAAAGGGCATAATTTATCTAAGGTTTATCTTGAACCAAGGATAATGCTCCTTGGCCAGCTCATCTCCATTTATTTTTTATTTTTATTAAATCATAGCTGTGTACATTAATGAAATCATGGGGTACAGTGTGTTGGTTTTATACACAATTTGAAATATTTTCACCAAACTGGTTAACATAGCCTTCATGGCATTTTCTTAGTTATTGTGTTAAGACATTTATATTCTA